TACTACGAAAAATACAGAGGTATCAAAGTAAACCCTTTTTGCGTTAAAAGTCCTGAGAACCTATTATAGATTATAACTTGTTCAGTACCAACACATGGGAATCACTACAAACACAATGTTAAACCCTACCATTAGCATACCACATCCGAAGGAGAAGATTTCATCAGGCACCAATTAACATAATATGTAGACTGTAGACTAGAACCTAAGGTCAAGCCTTGCTGGCAGGTTTAGGAAACACAACTAGTTTTGTAGACAATCAGGGGATATTGTACACTGTCCACCAGAAAGTGTGGATATTTCTGATCTGAGAATTTCCTTGCGAGAATCAGGAATTTCAGCCCACATATTTTGTAATAGGTAATAGTTTCACTTATTTCATTATTGGCCGAATAATAGTATTTCATTTAAACAATCACTGTAATGATGAGTTGTGCGGCTTTCTTTGTCAGTCGAATACAATCCATTTATAGCTACTCGTTTCGCTCAGTACGCTTTCAGCTTTTCAGTTATCGAGTTCTCCAGGAATTTTATTTCAGTTCAATTAGAATTTATTTCTCAAGAAACGCTTAGACGCATAATTTCTAATTTTGTAAAATGTTCGCATTGTCTTCGTTAAACACGAGATTATGTCCAGACAGTTTAACAAAAGTCGCAGATGTTTGTCGATGCACTCTTGATACTGGCAGAAATTATCACTTTATTTCAGGAACTTTTCTCTTTTTCACTGCCCAATATATTTTATATTTTGCCGAGTGTTAAAAAGAAGAAATTTTAGGATGCCGGAACTTGCCCCCTTAGAACCGCTGTAGTTTTAAAATGCGGCACCAAATTCAATTATTTGTTTTATTATTTGATTTGACAAAAAAATGGTCCCATTTTAAAATTTGCGATATTGGGCTCCTACTATTGGACCCAAATGGTCGATTATCCGAAATCAAATTTTAAATGATTATAAAATTATCCGGGCGGAACCGGATTCAGTGCATCCTTACTGATTCAGTCTCTATAAAGAATTGAGCACTTAGTGGCAACATTTACTAACACAATCTCTTACACTTCAAAGGGACAAGACCAGATACATGAGTAAACGTATTTAAAACAACGGCTTCCTCAAACAATCAATTCATTAGTTTTATAGTGAATACGTCACAAGAGCCATTGTAGAAGAAACTTAACTAGCTGTCTTTAACTTCTGGCATGCTTCATCTCAATAACAAGAGCGGTTATAGACATGCAGTTATAGACATGCGAAATCTTCAGATACACATTTAAACATGTTGGTATTGTTGATCCTTCAATTACACGTGTGTTCATAAAATAGCCTCGAAGTTCTACTCTGTTTCGTATTTCAGTTCAGGGATGCATGTCAACTTGGCCCTCTATTTTTCTACCGGTGGCGCTATTAGAGACGGAGTGATGCGGCGGCGTTCAAATTGAACTTCAATAACACATTGTTGGGGATGCAACTAATTTTGATATTTTATAGACGTTAACATGTTTTGTTAAACCTCTCCAATATTGTACTATAATTGTGGTGATTTTCTGAATGTAAGTATGTTTCAAAACAAGACCAGGATGATTCCGGACGATTTGGAGCGTCAAGAACTGCTAATTAATTAATTAATACTACTACTAAATAATACCCACATTTCATCTCACATTTATTTGTAAACTTGTATTTATCATGGTGGTGAGAGCTAACAAACAAGGTATACCTTATCATACTTAGCTGTAAGTTAACACTTATACATGACTGCTAACTTGCAGATAAGTTTGATACGCTTATAATAGGTTAAATTAATTGCAGTAATAATATATATATAGTATAATAATATAATAATATAATAGTATAATTATATAATAATATAACAGACAGATGGTTCAGAGAGTAATGGGCTGTGATAACTTTATTGATACCTTAACCCAGTCTCTCTGAGTAATATATTACATGTTACATATATTCAATCATTTCGAATAACCTAACCACTTAGTAAAGCTGAATGTACTGACTTCGTCAACAATGAGGGCATCATGGGATATTGGGATAAAACGGCTTATAAACCGCGAAACAAACATAGCCTAATATAATATATTCTGGATATAACCGAGCAGTTTAGTTAGGGCACTGATGATTGGTATTGTTTTCTACATATTATCATGAAACGTTTCGTATGCCCGCCTATTTGAGGGTTTCTATTTGTTTTGGAACAGTTAAGTTATGTAGTTTAGATATGTACTATGTTAGAACAATATAATATATTGAGGATTAGATATAACAACTGTACAAATACATTAGAACAATAACATTCATTTGTTAACATTCACAAGGCTCGTTTGTTACGGATGCTAAGCGGTCACTAAGGGCACTTTATGATAAGTGGTAGGTCACAGCTTTTATCTTTTGTCGCCTCCAATAGTGTTAGTCTAGCCAAAAATAACCATAATGCTTTTTATTTATGTTGCGTTGTGTTAAGTCCAATAGAAAATTCCAATAGAAATGTTCTTTTTAGCTCAGTACTTCTTAATTAATATTAAATGAGCGATATTGTCGTGTATAATTTACGTATTTGGTCCAGTTGAGAGCGTCTAATTCACTAATTGAACCAATTAAGATGAGATCGCTTAGAAATTTGTTGTATTTCAGTTACTGTCAATAATTAACATTTCATTTCAACATCTAATGCCTAAAGCGCCTTGTGTCGGAGCATGTTAACAAATACATTTCCTTATCATTTACGTTTGCTTATATCATTAATCATATGTTATATTTTCTAAAACCTTATTTATCCTTAACTGCATATTTATAAGAGTTAAATTAATTGAATCAGGTTTTGAAAACGAACCATCTTTCAACACAATAGAAAGGTAGAGGCTGTGATCATATATAATTTTAAATTTCTATGATAAGCGACAAGTGCCAGATTGTACATTTTATTCCCAAATTTGACGTTAAATTATGCAAACTTCACAAGATTAGAAATGTATTATTAGTTTCATAATAATATGTTCAGTAAGGTTACGAACCAAGCAGTACTCTTAATGCACCTATTAAATAACTTATATTGTAACTTAATTTTATCATAACTTACTTTGTTCATTACATAATCAGTACGTCTAAACCTCCTTGGTCGATCAAATAACAAATCATAAGATAACAAACCTATAATATTAAACTGATGTTCTATCAATTATGTGACCGTGCAGGATTAATACCTAAATGTCTAATCCCATGTTACTCCCAAAAGCCAAAAGTTTACCTCCAGTAGTCCAGTAAAAACCAGTTTTACTTATTGGTAATGTTTGCCAGCACTTTCGATCGGTTACAGTCTCCTTATTAAATGCGTTGTGTTGCAGCTTTACCAGTTAAGTCATGAGTAACTAATGACTATTCATTACTAATGCATATTATTCATAACTAATGCATATAATTTGTTCTCATTACCCGGTAACACACCTCCACCCTGTCTACTGTATTATACAGCAGACTAGACACAGAGTAATAAACAGTAGTTGTCCAGACACTATCGTTCCCAGTGATAAGTCACAGTGTGTGACGATGTATTATTTAGATAGTTACTTTATAATACTTGTGTTTTAGGAAATTGGCCTCTCACCGAAAATTAAGCAACCCTCTCTTTTTTGTCTACAGCGGCGGGTCTTGTTATCAGGACCAATATCAGGGGGCATTTGTGCATGGTTAATTTAAATGTTTGCAAGCAATGCTAATCACAGCATGCTCATGTCAACTGGCACGGTGTACTGAACATCAATGGAATTCTGGAATATTCGTTAAGATTACTACCGAGGCCATGTGCCGCTTCCATTCGTTTACCAGTCCACTTCTAGCTAACTTGACACGGTAACAAGGATCAGCCCATCATTTGTCTTTGTCACTTTGTCAGACAAATTTTCTTATTTCGTCTAATTTGCCACCAAAAATTCATAGGAAGAGTGGTAGAAGATCTTCTGGCATTTCGCCCAGACTGGCGGAGCCCTTTCGTCCCAATAATGTCGGCCACGGGTTGATGTACAGATTGGTAAAGTAAAGTGCCATCTACATTGTTTATTTTGGGCTTATTTTACAAGATTAATTGAATATTCTATTTCCTTGAATATTTTGTTTACTTAATTATGTATTTATTTCCAAATACGAGGCCTTGTAATTAGCAGTAGTACGGAGTTACGGAGTATCGGTATTATTAAATTGACCTTATCCGCTGTACTATTAGATTAAGTGGTAATCGATCGGCGTAACGCGACATCATTTTGTTAAATTTGGCGACATGTTTTGGTTCCCCGAGTTAGCGTAAATTTAAGGTAGTCCTGTGTAGCTTTTACTCTTAACCCTTGGTGTAGGGCTCATCGAATAGATCTCGGAAGGACCTACCAGTAATAATAAGTTAAATGTTGAAATTCAACCGTAAAGTATGTTTTATCATACAAAATGTGTCCAAAATGTGTATGTTTTAAAAAGATAGCAATAGTATTATAATATGTTTAAAATTTGTCTCGAGTTATCCTCGCGATAAAAATCTCCAGACATAACTGCTTGACCTTTTTAAATCAAACTTTTTAAGTTTTTACGAGCATCGTTTGTTAAACAGTTTTTAAATCTCCCGAACAAATCTTCTGACACCTGGGTTGTAACGATTGGCTGATTTCAATTCTGATTTTCTTCTGGACTGATAAACGAGTTCGCGTATAATTATTGGAGCTAAATCATCGAACAATCAGCGCCAGTAATTACATATTTCAGCCTTTATAAAGTAGGATGTTTTCAAAAGGACGATATTCACCATGTCACCACGTGACCATTTGTCGTTTCTTCTATTTAGATTTAAATGTTTAAATTCTTGTGCCATCAAACCTAAGTTTTCAATGTGTTATAGAAGTCAGTAGAATATCTTAACCTTTTCACTCTAAAGTTCTTTCTGAAAATATCATCCTCTTAGGGGCACGTGATTCCATGAAAATAACATTAAAACTAATCCAGGAAGAGATGACTACAGATAACATAACCTCCACCACCCCCTTCACCACCACAGAATACATCGTTCCCGTCATCCCTGAAGTGGACATCATCTACTTCACCATAATCGTAACCTGCTTCCTGGTAGGAACAACCGGCAACACCCTCGCACTCAGATACTTTCTCACCAAGACACGTGACATACCCACCAGCATCTACATCATTATATCAGTAGTGGACATCACCATCAGTGTCCTGATCCTTCCAGTCAGTCTCCCCTACATTCTCTGGAACAGGAGAGGATGGCTCCTGGAGGATTCCACTGCTGTCTGTATTGTATGGGGCATGCTGTGGTACATATTCTCCACGCTAACCATCTTCCTGGTGGCTATGATGAGTATTACACGCACCATACAGATAGCTCTACCGTTCAGAAACCTCAAGAAACGCATAATAATAGGGATTATTGTGTTTTATGTTGTGGTGCTGTTTGTACAGAGCACTATACCCATGTGGGTGGGGAAGCAGTATGAGTTTGAGTACGCTTCCACTACCCACTGCACCTGGAGGAACAGTATCTTGGGTAAAGGAACTGTAGCATTCCACGCTTACACTCAGGTAACATTCCACGCTTACACTCAGGTATCAGAGGATTTTTATTCCTCCCTTTTAACAATCAAGCTAGATAATTTGTTGCATATATTGAGATCATTCTATTAATTTACAGGTTATCGTCAAACATGTTGCAAGGTGTCATCTTTAGTGACATAAGCCTCAAATAGCAACAAGTTAGTTAAACCCAAAATACCTAAACAATCTTACACCCAGGTGATCTTCTTCGAGAACTACTTCCCCATCTTCCCCATTCTCATCTCCTGTGTCCTAACAATACGGTCCCTGAAGTCCTCAGAAAACAGTGCCCTGAACAGAGCGAACAGGGAAGTGACCATCACCATCATCCTCTTCACCGTGCTCTACATGGTTTGCAACTTCCCTCCAGTTGTCATGCACCTCATCACAATCATCAGTCAGACCTTCACGCTCAATACTGATCTACATGGGTTTGATAAGCCTTACTGGTACTGGTTTAAGTTCTACATGATCCTGCTGGTACCCCTCAACTCGGCCCTCAACCCTATTGTGTATCTGTGGAGGATGAAGAAGATGAGGGAGTCTACACAGACGATGGTGAAGAAGTGTCTGGCGACTGCGAGGGTGGGCTCTCCGCTCATCAGTACGAGGAAAATGTCCATGACTGCGGTTACTAAAGTCTGAGCAGAAGAGACAGGTCACTTTAACAGTCAGCAGCTAGGAGATAACCTTAGCTAGGAGAAAAAACAGAGAAACAGCTAGAGTTTGAAAAGGTGGCAGAACAAAGAGAGGTCAAAACAGTTATCATATCCTGGTTTGAAGTAACGTACTGATTTCTGAACCACATCGCCATGTTTGAACCACATCGCCATGTTTGAACCACATCGCCATGTTTGGACGATTAATATACCATAGCATCTTACAGTTAAACTCAATATTTGGTAACATTATTTATGAGATAAGTGTGCTGTTGATGTGATTTATGTTTTAATAATGTAATGTTAGTATTTTATTTGGGAGTGTACATTTAGTGATCAGACTGATTTAGCACCGATAAGTATCAATGAAATGAGTTTCATAAAAAATTAATATATTAATGTTAGCGAAATTAAGCTTTAAATGATTGACACAATCTCAATTTAATAAAAATGAAAATTTTAGCAGATATAAACTTATAAAGAATCGTCTGAAGGCTACTTATCAGTGATTATGTTTGATTTGTAGCGATTGTTAATTGTTATAATTGTTATCTTGATTGTTGGCATTACAATTGGGGGGGGTGTAACCCAAAAAAACCCAAAAAAACCCAATCCCAGTATTACCTTTTTCAGGGTAGGAGTTGGGTTTTTTTGGGTTTTTTACAAATTTTTCATTTGAAGGAAATAAAATCATGTAGGCACCTAGCAAAACAATTATCAGTACAACATCACTGTTGTGGTTCATCACTACAACATCACAATAGATATAATCGCTTAAATATCACACAAAAGCAGTATTTTATTCACTGATGTGCTCAGAAGAAGTTGGCCATCCAAATATGATATCAGCCATATGTTATGCTCACTTCGATGGCCATGGCAAATTGAGTTAGTAGGGACGCAACTTACTGATGACCCCAACCCTGACCGCAGCCGGTACGAGAGGAATAAAGCCTTTCTTCTCACCTTCACGATCTCTGTTTCCGTTTTCCTGATCATCCGCTTAACGAGAAACCATGCTCTATCTCCAACTGAAAGAATCTTGCAGTTACTATCAGCTGCATGATCACATGTGATATTAAGTGATATCTTCGCTTGTTTATGGCCCTGGAGTCGCTAAAATCTTGACTGGGATGGCATTCGATCTCGTTCTCCATTGAGGCAAACCTCAACAGCCGTATCATGATGCAGAGCATCACCATACACACTACACAGTTACTATTTTCGCCCATTCCTCTGATGAGTCAATATCCTCCACTTCCTCTTCTTCATCATCTGTTTCCGCTTCGTCACTCTCTGCTCCGTCAGAAGATGGTTGGAAAGCCTCTCCTTCAAAGTTACAGTGTTCTTGAAGGAGTTCTCTACCCCTTGAGACTCCCTTCTTCATAGCTTGTAACAATCTTGGGATTGAAGTATCTTTACCTCTAAATAGTTTCTCTACTTTCGGATGCGGTATAACAAGCTTGTTGCGAGAGTGGGCAACTGTTACAGGGATCAAACTTTTGCCGAGTGCATCAAGCTCGAGGGAACGGTTTGATTTGCCCATGCCAACCAACATATCCTTAGAACACAGATTAGTTCTAATGCCTGCATGGAGGCCTATGCGCAGGAAAGCATAAAGTTTGCTCGCAGGCATCGGATGTAAACAGCCAGGGCATAAAGTGTTGATAACTGTTGTCAGCTGTTACACTGAGAATGTACAGCATCAGACCCTCGACTGTAATAATCGCATCATCAACATTTTTACAAGTAGGCAGGTGGTCTTTCAATGGTTGTGTGAAGCTTAGGTGGCCCAAGGCGTCACCGCTGGATAGAAGCTGGGTGGAAGACCTGGTCTGATGTGAGGCTCCCAGAACTTTGAAAAGGGGTATCCTGCTGGTGCCCTCTTCCAGACACTCATCGGAAAGCATGATGGAAGCCACTACCTCCGCGTGGTGAAGACTGGATACTGTACAGGGGGTCCAGTGCAGGCTAAAGGCAGGACGGTCGACGGGAGACATTGAGCCCCGGAAGTTCAATAATTTGATCTATTGACTCCTTAACTCTTGGTCTACTAGAGGCTTTGAGACTCGTAAATCTTTACTGTGGATTGCACAGTAGCTAAAGAGGTGTTGGCTGTTACCCTGTTCAACCTAGTCTACTATGACAACACTCTGATAGTCAGGATACGGCTCCCTATGCCAAGGCATGGGCTGCCTACCACAAAATGAAGGCTACATGGAGGTCCAATTTGCGCCGAGATCTAAAGATCCGTCTGATTCAAGGCTACAGTTGAATCAATCTTCCTGTATGGAACGGAAACGTGGACAATGACATAATCTTTGAAAAGAATAGACGGATGTTACAGTAGAATGCTTTGGATGGCCCTAAACGTGGACTGGAGAGAACATCGCACCAACAAAGAGGTCTTTGGATCACTCCCAAGAGTTAGTTCGAAGATACAGGCCAGAAGAATGAGGTTGGCTGGGCACATCCAGAGATCCAGCGATATGATGACCTGGCAGTACACCAACTTCTCCTTCGGGAACCTAGCCATGGGACCAGAGAGAGGGGCAGACCACCGCTCACCTTCGTCGACAACCTAATAAGTGACACCGTACTCAAGAACACTGGGGAGATTAAGGAGCTTAGGATGGCGGACAGAAAACTTTGGAGACACATCATTGAGACTCGGACTCTGAAGCCGCCTTAAGTCAAGTAATTTAAGTCATGTGCTTTGACTTGCCCTTGACCTTCGTCATAGCCTCTTTCTATTCAATGACAGGAGAACACATTTGCAAATTTCCACTTTCTGCATTCATATGGATTATATCTCGATGAACTAGACATCCTCTTTGCTATCGTGATAATATAATTTTATTATAAACACACTTATATACTATGTAAACTATCTATTAAGTTAAGACATGAGAACAACACGTAGGTAAGACTCAGTGGGAAATAATTCACATTCAATACAACAAATGAAATGGCTAGAATTTTGTTTAAATTTTGTTTAAAAAACCCAAAAAAACCCAAAAAAACCCAATCCCAGTATTACCTTTTCTTGGGTAGGAGTTGGGTTTTTTTGGGTTACACCCCCCCCCACAATTATTGTTGTACATTTTTGTCCGATTCAGCTATGTTACCTAAAAGTTACGAATACCGAACAGTGCCAGAAGTTGAATATAAGAATAAATACTTAATAAATTACATAACTAATTACGCGATGCAGTAGTCCATGATCATTTTAATTATCATAGACTAGTACTAATATAATAAGTGGGTTTTTTTTTGTGGAAAACTTTGTGAATAAAGTCAGCAACGTCCTAGCAGTTGCATAGAAATCAGAAGTAATTACTAAAAAATAAGATAACAAACCGAGAAGTATTGGATGCGACATCTAATAGTATTGGTAACGATCTCCCCGGCGATCCTATCCAGAGAGGCAGAGGGAAGGAGAGTGTGGACGGGCTGGAGTCTCCTGTAAAACCTGTCCAGACCCCGTACTAACAGAGCGTTATCCGGGCCTTGTGTCTCTATTGTGAACCTGGCATGGGGCCGGGGTTATAAATGTAGTTTATAATTACCTTCACTGGGGTTATGAATTTAGCTTATAATTACCTTAACTGTGAATGTAGGATTTGAAAATGAATCTCGTAGAGTCTGTCTATGCTAATGTAGACCTCATGATGTAGGAGGGGCAGAAGGAGGGGCAGAAGGAGGGGCAGAAGGAGGGGCAGAAGGAGGGGCAGAAGGAGGGGCAGAAGGAGGGGCAGAAGGAGGGGCAGAAGGAGGGGCAGAAGGAGGGGCAGTGTACCCCAACTTCCTCCCGTGTAACAGCAGGTATTAAATAGATCAATGTGATAATGTACTAATGGCTTGATAATGCCACTCCCCCACATGTTATATACCTGGACTGCATGTGCTCGAAGTAAGCGGAGAAGTGCTGGTAAGCGAACTCAGACAGCGTCTCCTCCAACTCAGTACCCGGTAGAGTCAGGTTAGTGTTCTCGGAGAAGGCTGACTTGTAGGTAGAGATGGTCAGGGACACGGAGCCGAGGAAGGCGTACCCAGTCGTGTCCAGGAACTCGAGGATATCCTGCTTCTCAGGGGGAGATCCGACTGAGGGGGGTAGAGGTTTAGTTGTAGAAATGTTTTGGTAGAAAGTGCAGCGTTTTGAGTTACAGGGTAATCCAGAGTAGTGTGTACAAGTGTTGTAACCATATTAATAACAACCTAAAATACTGTTCAAGAAGAAAGAAAAACATTATTTTTGACAAAAGGTTTCCAAATAGTTTCTCATAATAAAGACCTCAGTCAACAGTAATCAGTAATGGACCGTCAAATTATCACTTCATTTTATGGATCACTCTACATGCAAATTAACGGAGAATTCAGAGTGGAATCCTTCCCAATATAACTGTAAAAACGTCGTTTAACAGTCGACGCTGATGATATAGAATTTTCAACCCTAAAACAATAAAAATAAGTATATTTTACCAGCATCGATATCAGCTTGTAATGTGATATGAGCAGTGTCGAGATAGAGCTTTATAACTTCTCCGGCTGGTACTTTTAGTTCAATCAACATGTCTGTTGTTTCTACCACCTGGTAACATAATTATGCTGTTATTAATTATGCTATTACTATTATTATTAGTTTAATACGCTCATTTTTAATTTTTTAAAGCTAAGTATTTTCACATCAAGTGGACTTTAATTAAGCCTGACGGCTGCATAAATAGAAATTGTGATCTTACGATTCTATAATATTAATATACAAATTCTGTAAACACCATCAAGATGATCGGCCATTTAATCAAGATGAAACGGTCCAGACGTTTAATAACCAATATTTACCAATAATATAAATTAAAGCGACATGAAATTCTATAACCTGTGCAGTAGTTATTCAAAACGTAAAAATATAAATCTGAAGCAAAAACAGTGTATAATAATTTACTTTTTAATTAAAGCGACACAAATTACTCTAACCTGCGCAGCAGTAATTTCCGGGTTGCCGAGTGTGTCTCTGAGAGCGTCTATGAGGAGCTTCACAGTGTTCTCACAGTCATCTCTAATGCCGTCGAATGAGTTGACGTGTTCGTATTGGGAGAGGATGGCTGCTGCTTGGGAATAGTATTTCACTGCCTGAAAATGGTTTTAAAAATAAGAATATATTTAGTCTGGGACAGAAAACGTGTCGCACAAAATTGTACTACTGATATCTGGATATTATCCGGTTGGAAGAGACAAGGACAAGTGAAACAAGGAAGTTAGGAGTAAGGGCAAATTTTCGGCGTCAACGCCATCTTCAGGCTCAATAAATGTAATAGATTTGTAGTGTTGTAATTAGTTTTTTAAACAGCGAACTACTCCGTTATTTGATAAAATTGTACTAAGCAAGGAAAGTAAGGGGAGTAAGGATTAAAACACACTCGAACACAGAATCTTGAACAAGTAAACCTTGACAATTCCAATTCAATTCCCTTCACTTCCTCTTACCTGAGGATAAGCCTCCATCTGGATAGCCTTCCTCAGCAAGGTTGGTAACTCAAACAGGGTCTGTAACTTGGTCAGTAGATTGTGTACGGAGGACAACTTGGTTATCTTCTGACGACTATCACTCAGGTTTACACTGATAGCGTTACTGAAGGTGGAGATAGAGTCCATGTTACCCATCACAGCCTGGGGACATGTTTTATATATTGGGGAAAATGAGTGTTTTTAAATATTAGCATATTCTTGGTTTCATGATGATATTTATTTCAAAGTAACAAAAAGGCATCTTGAAAAGCAAAGAAGTCGAAAGTTGAAACTATTTTGGTTAGTTAAAAGTACCTCCATTTGTTCCTCCATGTGCTTGAAGTCGTCTTTCATCCGTCGTATTGTATCTGTAGCACTTATAAACTTGTTGTAGTTCTCATATACCAACGTCTGAACAATTGAAAAAAATAACGACTGAAGTCTGAATATCTAAATAAAACATATTCTTTCATTATAAATTAACAGGTGGTTGATAGATCTGAATACTGATGGAGAGGTGAGACATATTTCTTGGATACTGGTGAGACATGTTTGTTTTTACACGTGATAATGTGACTAACAATACCTGCATCTCACTATCCAGAGTCCGTATCTCCTTCAGTAGGGTAGTTTGGGATCCCAGGAGCTCGTGTAGACGCTTCTTACCCAACAAATCCTAATAATAGAATAGTTATTTTAGTACGCCTTTTAAAATTAACTCATACAACTTGAATACAAGAAAACGGCCACAAATGGTAACTCTTGGAAGTTCTTACTTTCATGTACACATCAGAGTGGAACTGGTCACTGTTAATATCTGTCGTCTTATCCACATTGTCTTCTTTTTTAGTTCCGTAAAATTCTTTCAATCTGTTTCTATTTCTTTTCTTCGGGACACCTGCTTCAGACATCCTTAGTGTGAGTAGATATGTAAGTTTTGTGAAAACAGCGGCTATTTTTAGATAATATATGGTATAAAATATGTAACACGATCACGTCGAAGTCAATGGTCAATACAGAACCTTCTGTCGTTCAGGTTTAGTGTCTGCCACATTTCTTAAAATTCTACAAAGTATACACAAGGAACATACGTGTTAAGATATTAAGACTATAATTTTGTCAGCGCGCGTGCAGTAATATGATGTCAAATTTGCCACATATTGAGATGGCACGCGTTTGGTGCTATAAACAAGTTCAAGAGGATTGTAATAGAGTTAAAGATAGATATGCAATGTAATATTGTAGGCTTTAGCAATAAAAACCGGAAAATTGATAAGTTACATCTTTAAAAAGGATAAACATAGGAATCTCATTATTATATGAATTAAATTTAAGTCAACATCAATACCTAGGTAAATCAATACCTAAATCTAAATCCTAAACATAAGCTTTAGCCATTTGAGATTTACTCAAAACACTATCATCACACTTTACTCTAAACCTAACAGTAGACCCCACATTCCACAGCGCATCATCAAAATCAACAGCCTTCGCATTTATCGTATAAACATCAGCAAACGACTGAACATCCACACTCAACTCCAACTTCAAATACCCTTTAACGAGCGGGACCTCTCTATTACACACTAAACTACTACCACCGTCCTCCTTCACAGTTCCTTTAGCTGAGGAAGCAGCTTTATCACACGTGACGCTTACCAGCATGTTCTTTATCCGCGAACTGTTCCCCCTGACCACTGCTTCAACTGTTAATAGCAGGTTACACCCTCCCGCTATCTTGATTATACCTTGATCAATTGCAGGACTGGTTGCGAGTGAGATGCTTGTGTTTTGTTCTTGAACGAAGTAGAAGTAGGGTAAAGTGAACCGGTGTGATATGAGGTTGGCAGGTGGTTTGTTTGATGAAGGATATCGAGGATAGTGCTTCGGGGGATTCTTTGATTACTGATAGAGTTTTGGAGAGTTGGGTCGAAATATCGGAATGTCTCGAAATAACTGGCATATTTTGTGTTTCTCCAGTACACAGGACCGTCAGAATGTTGCAAATCAGGAGGAATTCCTTTAGATTGTCACATGGTTTAGCGTCGATCATTCTAGATTCCAGCTCTCTTGCTCCGTCTATAAGATCAGAAACTTGACGAGCAATAAAACGCAGGGTTGGCGCAAAGCCAGCTGTATCATCTACCATGTTCATCTTCGCAATATTACTCAGGTTTACCAACTGGAGGTAGATCTTGAGAACTCTCAGTCTGAGAGAAATTAGATCAGTCTGAAAGTGAGTCAGCGCGGAGTTCTGACAACATTTCACATTTAACAGTGCTGAATCGTACAGTGAAATAGACTGTCTTAACTCACTCGCTAACTCCGCACTGCAGACCAGATCCAGACTCTTAAAAAAGTTCTGGGAATACGGGTGAATCAGATAATCGTGCAGCAACCTGATGATCTTCAGTGCTACCTCATACACACCATGGCACATTGCAACTCTCATAATACAATACATGCCCCACTGTCTCCCCTCAACCGCTAACCTGTCTACAAATAACACAACTTGTTCTGTTATAACTCCCCTCAGCTCCTCATCACACTGACTATACAGTACTGTCACCAACTTAACAAAGTAACAACCCTTCTTCAAATCACACGAGCCAAGAATGCCAGCTACTTGGTCAGCCTGCAGTACCACACTTCTCTTTAAGGAGGAGAGACAGTAACACAGCTCAATGAATATCTCCATGGATGAGGTGGAGAGGAGAGTGAAGAGGAGGCTGGTATTAACACATTCTTGTTTGGAGAAGGAGAAGAGGAGTCGCCGCACTAACTTTGTGTCTTGAGAGTTTATTGTGCGTACTAGCAACGGGTAGAAGTAGATCTGAAATAGCCGATATAACAGGGTGAAATATACCTTTAGATGTTGTGTAAGATTATACAATATACATTGCATTATGACCTAGATCTTGATGATCGATTAATGATACTCCAATGATTAAATACTAATACTACATGAGCTATAAATAACTCATCATAATATGTTAGGTTAGGTAAAATTGCCTACCCGCAAGCCAATAACTATGACACCCTGCTGTATGTAAAGATATGAACCTGAGAGTGCTGAGTAGGCATAAGAGTAGCACATATCTGGTAGATAGCAACTGAGCTGGCTAGGGGAGCAGTTCCTAGTTTACAGAATAGGGTGTCTAGGGTGGAGGGGGTCAGGAGCTGCTTGGCTGGAGACAAGCTAATCTTACACAGGATCTCTCCTCCTGAGGAGTAGATGAAGCTAAAATGATATATTTTGAGTTAGAGGACAAGTATCAAAGCTAAAACAGATTAAAAGAGCAAAGCAGCCGAATATTTTGTCAAGAGGACACAAAACGATAAATCTGGTACACAATAAATGGCCGGAACGAAACGACCAAAATGACCGAACTGACCACTATCACCAGTAAGTTCCACAAGTCTCCCAACGTCCTCCTGATTCAGCAGCTCTGGTTGAGCACCAGCTATCTCCTCTAAACATTTAAACGCTGAACACCGCACTCCCTTCCTCATCTCCCCCTCAGCTGTGCTCAGCAGCAGGTCTATAACCTTTAGAAGATAAAAAGGTCATTCAAACAATATAAACATTCAGTTAAATCAAGTGATGCCATTAGCAGAGCACATTCAAATCAAGTGTTGAAATTGGCAGAGCACAATACATAGGTTACAGAAATGGTCCATAGCTACCAATATGTTTGAATCAGGGACAAAAGGTTTTCGCGATTATTTTGGCCAAAATTCGCGATACCGCGAATTTTAACAGACTATACATTAAACTATACATAAAATTTGTCACAAATAATGGGGAAAATCGCGATTCCGTACATGCCGCGATTTCCTTTTGTCCCTGGTTTGAACTATAATAAACAATGAAATACACACAATTTTCAAAACACATGATCCATAACCTCGCGGGGTGAGGAGAGAGTTGACAGCATCATCTGAGTCAGAGCCTTCAGACACCCGTCTGTAACCCGCTCTGTTGCTTGGTCTTCCAGGAGTTTCAAGCAAAGGTTCCTGACTTGGTATGAAGTTTCAAGATCGTAGTCCATGGACTGGAACACGTCTAGAATCTTTATTTTGAGGGTCTCTGTGGTCGATAGACTGGTGAGTAGCGACTCTAGTTTAGGGACTACAGTTTTAGAAACATCCTGTGACATAGCAGCGTACTGTTTACAAGCAAAAAGAGCAGCATCCCGCTCCAGCTCCATATGTGAGTCTAACCCTCGGACTATAGCGTGCAGCACGTTCTTCTTCTCAGGGAAGAGACCAGCAGAGACACCCAACACACGGAGGGTGATGGAGCGCGCTACAGCGTCGTTACTGTGGATAACAGAGAGAACAGGACGCAGGAAGATGTCTTTACCTGAAATCTTGTTGTGGTGTTGTGCTGTGCTGAGGATTACCTGGGGGTGAGAAATTGGTGAAATTTTAAAGTTTGGAAACTCGATTCACCATAAAAATCATTCAACATTTTTCACTATTGTTCACCATTGTTCACCATTGTTCACCATTCCAATGTGTTTATTTCGAAATGTGTTTATTTCGAAATAATGTGTTTATTTCGAAATAAAATATGAAATTGAAACATTAAATGTGTATTACCTTCAAGATACAGAATCTGATGAAGTTATTGTTGCATTCCCTGAATAGTTCTCCGAGTTTGAGGAATACAGCATCAATGAGGATGGGGAAGGGGTACTCTTCAAAAACAGAGGGTAACTTTACTATTGTCTCACATTGATCTCCTATCTTCCCGGTTCTCAGACTACCAAGAACTTGGTTCACTTTCTGCCATCCACTAGTCTCCATACTGCAATGATTGATTAGTTGGTTTGTATAATATTCAATTACGTGGATAGTTTTTTAATCGATTGATTTTGAAGCCGAATCAGTGAACTTAACCGATGGTAGGAAAACATTATCATACATTGAAATTATTTTGTGCTAATTCAGTTCATATGGTCACAGATTATTGAACTTTTCAAGGACTACGGCTATGAATTATTAAAATCAAAGCACAAACAACAAGTTAAGAATATTAGTGAAATATTTAAAGTTTTGTTATTAATATTAGCATATCAATATAGGAGAATTGATAAATTATACGGTTTATGAAATTGCACTATCATAGAAAAATTAACCATAAAATAGTTGACTTATTATTAATTATTTTGGGTTAAACATAACTAATAATTAAAAGATAAAAATCAGTTTAATAAATTTGTAGTTACACATTCAAGGAACTTAACAAAATGTTCACAAATTTCTATAAAAAGGTGATTACTTGTTGACAATGAGTACATGACCCAGAATTAACAATAAGTCAGGATCATCACGTGACACAAATCGTAAGCTCCTCACTGTAAAATCAGCCACTTAATGACCCAGTAAATTTGGGCCACCCTGCACGAACCATGTTGTCTAACATGGCTGACCCCCAACTCAACGACTCATCGGGTTGAACCAAATACCACCGGACTTTGGTTTGGTCTCCAGGGTTCTATCCATGTCTACCTCGCGATAGACAAAGTCACTCCTTTTTAAGTACTCGTATTCTTCATTTATGAACATCATACGTTTATCCTTAGACATTGAACCCATTTCTTTTTCCCTTGCCGACATGCCTTTCCGATAATATTTAAGAAACTCTGGATGGTTTCCTTTCTTATTATACTCCACCAAAAGATCTACTTCATTTGCCAGAACTGACCGCTCGAAACCACCTAGTTTTCCTATCACAATAAGATAGACCCTAGCTCTGCTTAGAGGTATGTACAAGGTAGAGGTATAAAGGGTCAAAATTGATTCTAAAAGAGTTGCATCCCCATCAACTGCAGATCGAAGATTATTATAAAGGGCATGGTTTGGCCCTAAAAATTCATGTAATTCAGCGACAAGAATAACCGCCTTCCATTCAGATGCTTGCACAGAATCTCGATCACTGACCCTCCTTATTGTAACTTCATTGAACAATTTTTCACTAAAATTCATCATCGCATGTGTTGGCATTTCAAATCTCTCCATGGCATTTATCATTACTGTCGGAGTGCACGAATCCATTATTATCGCAACATCGTTTGGACAAAGGTTATCACCTAATTCAAGTAATTTATTCAGCTCATCACGAATCACCCTATGCACAATCTTTTCCTGTTCTTTTGAGTTTCCAACCAAAATAAATCGTGGTTTTGGCCCTTGAATGTGATGCCCTGGGTTTTTAAACACCTTGTATTTCTTTGCATATTTACTAAATTCTTTTCCAGGCAACTGAAAGTTGGTTATAGTATTGGAATAATGCATTCGAGCATTTTCAATGCTGCAACTTATGCTGACAGAATTTCTGATATTTCTAGAAATACATCGAAATATGCCCTGGTTCTGCCCAAGCTCTTTCTTTAAGGCAACATCAAGATCTCTGTTGTAGCGGAGCAATAATCTAAGCTTCTGTATGAATATTGTCACGGAACCGCCGTGGCTTTCATCTATCGAGAAAGCCATCTGATTCATGTCAAATGCGATCCAAAAGTAAGCTGAGCTCTTTTGCCCCTCAATTCTATTTTTCATATCGGATCTTAGGTTGGAAACCAATTTCAGAGCAAAAGTGTTGCTGTAGCCTAATTCATAACTGCTATTGATATATGTAACCAGAAATTTGTCCCAGTAGTTATGAATATCATCAACAAATGTGTGGTAATTCAAATATTGAGCTAAATTTGTGAGGATATCATTTTTAGTTAAGCTCTGGTGAAAACATTTCGGCCATAAACTCTCATCCTTCAAAGCTGTTTGATGCAAAATGAAAATGTCAAAAATTGCATCAGAATCGAAGAGGGCATGAAAAAATGATTCATTCTTCACCAAGAACAGCTTACCAAATCTTGATGTGTGTCCACCATTTACTTTGTGCGATGTTATACATTTCATTCCAACTTTCTGGAACAGATCCTCAATATGTGCTAAATCCATAGTTCCCGTTATGAACAGCATTTTCTTTTTTGCCTGCTCGTCATTAGATGGTTTCAGAAAGAGTTGTATGGCTTTTCCGAATAACAGAAGAGTTTTTCCTGTTCCAGCAGCTCCTGTTATAAATTGACTCGTCACATCATCATGGAAAATCTCCTTTTGTTCATCAGTGAGACAATTGATGCCAAGATAGTTCTTAAAGATGTCTGGGCTAACCTTTACACTCTTGGTAACTGGATTTTTGATATTTTGTGAAATGTCAGCAGATTTTAAAGCCTTATCAATTTGATTGATACAGTATCCCAAACTGCAGATATCAATAACACACTTGTTATTTTGGTCGATACACCAAATCCCAACTAAAGAAGCTTCAATGATCTGCATTTCTCTTGTTTTATTTTGACTAGCCATGGACCGGTCAACCAACTGATACATAATGTTGTTTAACCACCATCGACTAAAGTTCTGTATATTCTCTTGAAATATAATATTGTTAATTGCATTTTCCGGAAGAAATTCGGCTACATCTACTTTGCTTATTCTTGGAAAAACAGTGTATTTGAAAACATTCTCCTTTCCCAAAGATACTCCCCAGCTACTGCAGATATTGTGGACAAGTGTTTGAACTCTCTCGAGTTGTTTTCGAGAATCGTCTAGATTTCGTTTAAAGACCTTCTTATTGATCTTCATGGGAGATTTAACTTCAAATAAAATAACAGCATAACCTCTGACAATGACCACAAAATCATGCTCTCCAGACGTGCCTCCTGAGCTAGCATACAACTCAGCTTGCTCTTTTGTAAATTTGAAATTATGAAGGACAATTATCTTTCGTTTACTAATTAAGTTCTCAAGTGTGTTGTATAGGTCAACTTCAGCTGTGTATTGGACCTGTTGGTCCTTGTGCTTCAAACTTTTCCCCGAAGTGTCTTCTTCAGTAAAGGCATCAACAAATGTCTGTTGAGGTGCTTGGGGGAGCATGACCGGATTCTCATATTTAGTAGTGTATGTCATCTTGCGGTCGATATAAACTCTTGAGATCATTTCACCAGTAGCAGCAATCTTTTCTTTTGATAAATCGTCTGAAATAATTAGTCCGAATTAAAAACTTCTAATCTGCTAATCAACAACAACAAACAAGATGTAAAATATTGGGGGTTCTGTTGTACGGAATTCAAAATATAAAGGTTGATCAACTGAATAGTTCCTACCTGTTCGAAGAAGAGCTTCTTTGACTTCAGAATAAACCTGAATAAGTTCCGTCACCACACAATGTAATGATTCGAGCTTTTTCTAATTCTGTTGTACAAAAACGATTTCTTAACATAAAACTCATATGTGCTAATAAATGTTTGTCACTCGGTAACAAGGTTACGACACGGAAATACAATAAACAATTTAAATCACTATGTAATAATTAATACCTTATCTAATTCGTTGGCGAGTACTTTATCCGAGTACGTCGAAAGAGCTTTTTCGTAATTCCACATAGAATTGTAAATACTTCCTAACTCTCGTTCAGCTTTACCAATTCGAGAAAGGGCTCTTAAAAGTGAGGATCAGGGTTAACAGCAGTAATGTGAATGGCTCTAACAATTGTTCAAAAATAAACATCTTTTCAAAAAAGCTCTGGTTAAAATCATCATTCACCATGCCATGCTGCTATGCTGCCAATGCTGTCAATACTGCCATGCTGTCAGTGCTGCCAATGCTCTTCAAATCACTGGATTAACCTTATACCCATGTTGTTTAATTTGTACCTCATTTTTTCCTTGGCACATGCAAAATATTGATCTCCAATTCTAACAGCCTCAAGGCAAACATTTTTTGCCGATGAGAAATCTTTTCTTTGTATGTACACAGCTGAAGTATGTTTTAATACAGAACGATACCAATTGAATCAAACTATTCAAGTTAAATTCGTCAATCGTTTCGGTGTTTCTCAAATGAAAGCCAGAAATGGGCGACTTCTTTGTGACAGACAGAACATTGTATAGCTTTTACCCCTTTTAGCTCATTTCCAGTCCTCTAGCCAATTCTATTCTACCAATCTGTCAAGCGGTGCAGTATCTCAGTTATGGCCCAATATTTCGTGATGGAAGGAACATTAAAACATGACAGACATACATAAAGTTGCTTTAAATGTTCACCTCCTTTATTGTTGTAGAAAGATATTTGTGTATGATCCAGTTCTATCGCCTCATTATACAAAACTAAAGCCTCGTCGTATTGCCCCTTCTGATAGGCTTTGTTGCCCAGCTCTTTCTTCTTGACGGCTGCTTGTTTCTGAATCTCATCAACGTTTTTAGTGGAGGGAACCGGTTGGGGTGTTACCTGAAATAAGAAACAGTGCTACTTTCAAAACATCCAAACTATTGTAAATCAGGAAGACACCAGAGACTTATATAACAGAGAATACCATTAATTATTTAGTTAATAAGATGTATTGGTAAATAATTACTTTATCAACCATCACAGCCTCATAATCGGTCTCCAATGTTGTGAGAGCTTCGTCATACTTCCATGTTGCATTGTAGATGTCTCCCATTTGTAGACACGCTTTTCCGATTCGAGCCAATGATCTAGAAAAGTGTTGGAATGAAAACGGGCTACAACGAATATTAATAAAATTGGTGACCCATTAAAACAATTAACAGTGAAACTATCATGTAATAGGCGCATAAAAATGGACGTTCACATTTGCATTGCAGCGGGAGTAATCACCTAAGCTACGCATTGCAAATTTGGGAATTTCACTAAATTCCAGATGAACCTTCACATAAAATAGTGATTACAAATAAACGAAGGCTAACATGATTATTATTTATCAAAATTTATACCTAGCCTTGTCAGCACTGCTTCCACCATACTTTTGACCAATCGTTAGAGCATTAGAACAAACATTTTTAGCCAACAAGAATTTCTTCTTATGAATATAAACAGCTGAAATAAGTAAGTGAGCATATAATAAGTGCTGTTAATGGAAATATTTGATCACAAAAATGAACGATGTTATTTAGCACTGTATTGATGAAAGAAGGCTAACAGTAAATAAAAATTTGCTAACAATACTGAATAGTATACCTCCTTTATTGTTATAAAATGACATCTGTGTAGGATCCATGGCTATAGCTTCATCATAAAGCGTTAATGCCTCATCTAACCTTTGTTCTTTAAAAGCTATGTTACCCAGATTCTTTTTCTCTGCTGCTGCTAACTTCCTATCTTGTTCGGTATTGTCGTCGGTATGAATCAACGAATTTGACATACCTAAAATAAATAATAATATATATAAACTTTTGTTATTAGCATATCAATATAGGAGGATTTGTAGACATTTTATAAAATTGCAGAATCATAGAAAAACTAAACATGAAACAGTTACCTACTATAATTATTTTGGGTTAAAACACAGATAATGAAGATAAAATTCATTCAATAATACAGGGTGGGCCAAAAGTCAGTACCCATACGTTGGCCTTAATAGCTCCGCCGTGTGTTATATTTGAGAGCTGTTGCCTTGCAGATGGCATACTGTACTTAATGGTTCGAGGATTCCGTCGTCAAAATTTGAAAATTCGTATATTTTATACCACGCCCATTCAATATTAAAACACCTATATCGTTTTCTCTGAACATGCTGAACGCCTAATTTTTTCAGAGACGTTAGATTATCAAATGTTGCATATGATCTGAAAACATGAGGCAAAACGGATTAGAAATGACGAAGTTATCAAGCATTTTCTGTATCTTGTTAACAAAATTGACTGGGTGATTATGTGACACCGTGACACAACACCTTAATTGGGCACCCTTAACAATTCCCATAATGTTTAACGGGGTAGTTAACGGGGTCACCTTATCACGTGATTAGGTAAACCAATCACCTGATCACACGTAATGAATAAACTCGTTATGCTTCATATCTCGGTCATCTGAGAAGCTACAGTTCTAATTCTTTCAGGACAAACGTAATTCGAATGGCCAAACACAATTCAATAACATTTAGCTTGATCCGACTATCCAAACTATCAAATAAATGTGAAAATGAACCTCCATTTGAAAAAAATGAACACGAATATTTTTCGAGTTGACAAATTCTTCGAACCAGTGGTGGTACTAAGTCATACCAGAAGGAAGTATTTAAATTGGGCACTCAGTGACTGAGCTATAAAGGCCAACGTATGGGTACTGACTTTTGGCCCACCCTGTATATAGGCACACAATCAAGTATTATAACAAAATGTTCTTAAAATTTCTCATATAATAAAAATTGTTACTATAATTATTTTGGGGTTAAAACACAGATAATGAAGGTAAAAATGAATCAATTTATAGGTACACAATCAAGCATTATAACAAAATGTTTTTAAAAGTATTATAAAAGTATTAAAAGGTGATTACTTGTTGATAATGAGTACATGGTGACCCAGAATCGACAATAAGTCAGGGTCATCACGTCGACACGTGACACAAACCATGAGCTCCTCACTGCAGAACCAGCGATTGAAGGACTCTGGCATAATAAGTAATGTTCCACCCTAGTCCCTATACAATGTTACTATATACTGACCCCAACTCAACGACTCATCGGGTCGAACCAAATACCATCAGACTTTGGTTTGGTCTCCAGGGTTCTATATATATCTACTTCACGATAGACAAAGTCACTCCTCTTAAAATATTCGTATTCTTCATTTATAAACATCTTGCGTTCATCCTTCGAAATTGAACCCATTTCTTTTTTCTTTTCCGACAAACGTTTCAGACAAAATTGAAGAAACTTTGGATCTTTTTTATTGTTATTAAACTCCAGCAAACGATCATATTCATTTGCTAAATTTGCCCGCTCTATACCACCTAGTTTCCCTATCACAATAAGATAGACCCTAGCTCTGCTTAGAGGTATGTACAGGGTCGATGTATAAAGGGTCAAGATTGATTCTAAAAGAGTTGCATCCCCATCAACTGCAGATCGAAGATTATTATGAAGATTTGGCCCTAAAAATTCTTGTAATTCCGCGACAAAAAGAACCGCCTTCCATTCAGATGCTTGCACAGAATCTCGATCACTGACCCTCCTTTTTTTTTTTTTTTTTTTTTTTTTTTAATTTTTTTTTTTTTTTTTTTTTTTGTTTTTTTTTTTTTATTTTTTTTTTTTTTTTTTTTTTTTTTTTTTTTTTTTTATTTTTTTTGAGGATCACTGACCCTCCTTATTGTAACTTCATTGAACAATTTTTCACCAAAGTTCATCATCCGATTTGCTGGCATTTCAAATCTTTCGTCCATGACATCTATTATTTCTGTCGGAGTGCACGAATCCATTATTATCGCAACATCGTTAGGACAAAGGTTGTCACCTAATTCAAGCAATTTATTCAGCTCATCGCAAATCACTCTATGCACAATTTCTTCCTGTTCCTTAGAGTTTTTGATCAATATGAATCGTGGTTTTGGCCCTAGAATGTGATGCCCTGGGTTTTTAAACACCTTGTATTTCTCTGCATATTTACCCAATTGTTTTCCGGGTAACTGAAAGTTGGTTAAGGCATTGGAATAATGCATACGAGCATTTTCAATGCTGCAACTAATGTCGACAGTATTTCGGATATTTCTAGAAAGACATCGAAATATACCCTGGTCCTGCCCAAGCTCTTTCTTTAAGGCAGCATCAAGATCTCTATTGTAGCGAAGCAATAATCCAAGCTTGTGAATTGTTTTTTCTCTGGGACTTTCGGCACTATCTTCCATCGAGAAAGCCATCTGATTCATGTCAAAGACGATCCAAAAGTAAGCTGGGCTTTTTACTCCATCAATTCTCTTTTTCATCTCAGTTCTTAAGTTGGAAACCAGTTTCAGAGCAAAAGAGTTGCAATAGCTAAAATCGTGACTGCTATTGATATAGGAAACCAGAAATTTGTCCCAGTAGTTATGGAGATCATCAACAAATGTGTGGTAATTCAAATATTGAACTAAATTTGTGAGAATATCATTTTTAGTTGAGCTCTGGTGAAAACATTTCGGCCATAAACTCTCATCCTTCAAAGCTGTTTGATGCAAAATGAAAATGTCAACATTTGCATCAGAATTGTAGAGGGCCTGAAAAAATGATTCATTCTTCACCAAGAGCAGCTTACCAAATCTTGATGTGTGTCCACCAGTTACTTTGTGCGATGTTTTACATTTCATTCCAACTTTCTGGAACAGATCCTCAATAGGTGCTAAATCCATAGTTCCCGTAATGAACAGCGTTTTCTTTTTTGCCTGCTCGTCATTAGATGGTTTCAGAAAGAGTTGTATGACTCTTCCGAATAACAGAAGAGTTTTACCGGTTCCAGCAGCCCCTGTTATAAATTGACTTGTCATATCATCATGGAATATCTCCAATTGTTCATCAGTGAGACAATTGATGCCAAGATAGTTCTTAAAAATGTCAGGGCTAACCTTTACACTCTTGGTAACTGGACTGTTGATATTTTGTGAAATTTCAGCGGATTTTAAATACTTATCAATTTGATTGATACAGTATCCCAAACTGCAGATATCAATATCACATTTGTTATTTTGGTCGATACACCAAATTCCAACTAAAGAAGCTTCAATGATCTGCATTCCTCTTGTTTTATTTTGACTAGCCATGGACCGGTCTACAAACTGAGACATAATATTGTTTAACCACCATCGACTAAAGTTCTGTATATTCTCTTGAAACAGAATATTATTAGTTGCATTTTCTGGAATAAACTTGGCTACGTCTACTTTGCTTATTCTTGGAAAAACAGTGTATTTGAAAACATTATCCTTTCCCAAAGTTACTCCCAAGCTACCGCAGATATTGTGGACAAGATTTTGAGCTCTCTCAAGTTGTTTTTTAGAATCGTCTAGATTTCTTTTAAAGACCTTCTTATTGATCTTCATGGGAGATTTAACTTCAAATAAAATAACAGCATAACCTCTGACAATGACCACAAAATCATGCTCTCCAGACGTGCCTCCCGAGCGGGCAAACAACTCAGCTTGCTCTTTTGTAAATTTGAAATTATGAAGGACAATTATCTTTCTTTTACTCATTAAGGTCTCAAGTGCGTTGTATAGGTCAACTTCCGCTGTGTATTGGACCTGTTGGTCCTTGTGCTTTAGACACTTCTTTGAAGTGTCTTCTTCAGTAAAGGCATCAACAAATGTCTGTTGAGGTGCTTGGGGGAGCATGACCGGATTCTCATATTTAGTAGTGTATGTCATCTTGCGGTCAATATAAATTCTTGAGATCATTTCACCAGTTGCAGCAATCTTTTCTTTTGATAAATCGTCTGAAGTAATAAGTCCGAGTTAAAAGCTTCTAATCTGTTAATCAAGCAATTGATAATAATATATAATCTTACAAGAAATGCGGCCGCTTTTCTTTTTTGGATGGCCGCTCAATTTCCCGATCCGTGATGGCGTATTTTATCATATTCCATACCACCTGGGGACCCCAGTCTTTACTGTTTATAAGCATGCAGATACGGCGGAGTGACAGGCCGAGCGCCGCCCAGTTAATATAATTCCATTTTGAATTTGAAAAGCGTGTATATTTCTATGTAACCATATGTTTATTGTTTATGCAACCTGACACGAATCTGTGCAAAATAGAAATACTAACTCAAAATAATAATAATCTGCTATCAATTAGTCCCTAGCGGGATGCGTACATGGTGAAATTAACAATGTACTTAGACAGTTCAGCGCCGCCGCCAACAATAGTTTAATTCAGATTATCGCGCAAAATAACTTTGCGCAGGCACAAACGTGGGCGATAACTGGGGGCGAGGGCACGTACGCACGCACGGTCGCAAGCTACCATATACAAAAAACCTCACTCGCTAACCCTTGTCCTTGACTGTTTTGTGCCTCCGGCACTTTGAGTCATGGATCGGGAAAAAATCATAATTCTTAGGCCTCAAGGCCAGGGGGCAGGGGGGTCTAGAAAGTTTTTAATTCGATTTTGAAAATCTTGGACATGAAATAATCGTCAAACAACGAGGTCCAAGATTTTCAAAATCGAGTAAAAACCTTTTTATCTTAAAATTCTGATACACCAGAATCTTCTAAATGGTTCATAGACCATATCCTACAAGTTTCAAGGTGATTGCTCACAAAATGTTGGAGAAGATAGATTTTTATACTCGATTTTCAGGGCGAGCGCAATACAATTACATATTATAAGCGCTGACCTTTGACCGGCAATAATTTCGGCTAGGAACAATATTTTTTCATGGGATCAAAAGCAGCTGATAAATATCACTCACCTCTATCAGAAACAACTATAAAATCAATTTGAAGAGAAATTTCATAATGACCCCCTGCCCTGTAAAATATTGGGGGTTCTGTTAAACAGAATTCAAAATATAAATCCAGATCATAATGAGAAGGCTGGTCAACTGCACAGTTCCTACCTGTTCGAAGAAGAGCTTCTTTGACTTCAGAATAAACCTGAATTAGTTTCGTCACCGAACATTGTAATGATTCGAGCTTTTTTAAAATTCTATTGTACTACAACGATTTCTTAACATAAAACGAATGTGTACCAATAAATGTTTGCCACTCGGTAACAAGCTTACGACACGGAAATACAATAAATAATTTAAATGTCCTGCACAGCAGTTTGAAGCTTCTTTAAATTATTTTTATCCTTATTGTATTGCTGTGTAAATTTAATTCTAAATCTAATTCTAATTCTAAATCATTATCATGTAATAATGAATACCTTATCTAATTCAGTGGCGAGTACTTCATCCGAGTACATTGAAAGAGCTTTTTCGTAATTCCACATAGAATTGTAAATACTTCCTAACTCTCGTTCAGCTTTACCAATTCGAGAAAGGGCTCTAAGAGAGTTAAAAGTGAGAATCAGGGTTAACAGTGGTGATTGTCCATGATTCAATTTAATACAAATATTTTCAAAACAATCTCTGGTGAAGAATCATCATTTACCATGCCATGCTGTCAATGCTGCCATGCTGCCAATGCACTTCAAATTACTGGATCAACCCATGTTATTTAATTTGTACCTCATTTTTTCTTTGGCACATGCAAAATATTGATCACCAATTCTAACAGCCTCAAGGCAAACATTTTTGGAAGATATAAAATCTTTTCTTTGTATGTACACAGCTGAAATTTTGTCAGTTTTTAATACAGAACAAATGAACAATACCTATCGAATCAAACTAAATAAAGTAAAATTCGTCAATCGTTTCCGTATTTCTCGAATGAAAGTCAGAAATGGGTGACTTCTTTGTGACAGACAGAACATTGTACATATTTTAGCTCCTTTCCAGCCCTCCAGGCTTTAAGATAAACGCCTTTAATTTTATGTTTAAGCAATTTTGTAAGCATATTCTACCAATCTGTCAAGCGGTGCAGTATGTCTGTTATTTGGCCCAATATTTCGTGAAGTAAGGAACATTAAAACATGACGAACACACAAAAAGTTGCTTTAAATGTTCACCTCCTTTATTGTTGTAGAAAGATATTTGTGTAGGATCCAGTTCTATCGCCTCATTATACAAAGCTAAAGCCTTGTCGTATTGCCCCTTCTGATAGGCTTTGTTGCCCAGCTCTTTCTTCTTGACGGCTGCTTGTTTCTGAATCTCATCAACTTTAACGTTTTTAGACGAGGGAACCGGTTGGGGTGTTACCTGAAATAAGAAACAGTGCTACTTTCCGAACATCCCAAATTACTTTAAATCAAGAAGACACCAGAGACTTGTAGAACAGAGGATAACATTAATTAATTTGTTAATAAGTTGTATTAGTAAATAATTATTAATTACTTTATCAACCATCACAGCCTCATAATCGGTCTCCAATGTTGTGAGAGCTTCGTCATACTTCCATGTTGCATTGTAGATGTCTCCCATTTGTAGACACGCTTTTCCGATTCGAGCCAATGATCTAGAAAAGTGTTGGAATGAAAACGGGCTACAACGAATATTAATAAAATTGGTGACCCATTGAAACAATTAACAGTGAAACTATCATGTAATAGGCGCATTGTATAAAGGACGTTCACATTTGCATTGCAACGGGAGTAATCACCAAAGCTACGCATTGCAAATTTAGGAATTTTACTAAATTCCAGGTGAACCTTCACATAAAATAGTGATTATAAATAAACGAAGGCTAACATAATTATTAAATATCAAACTTTATACCTAGCCTTGTCAGCACTGCTTCCACCATACCTTTGACCAATTGTAAGCGCATCAGAACAAACATTTTTAGCCAACAAGAATTCCTTCTTATGAATATAAACGGCTGAAATAGGTAAGTGAGCATATATTAATAAGTACTTTTAATGGAAATATTTGATCATAAATCAGTATTAATATGAAAGAAAACCAACAGCAAAGAAAAACGCTAACATTAACGATATTTGTGAATATTATGAACTATACCTCCTTTATTATTATAAAATGACATCTGTGTAGGATCCATGGTTATAGCTTCATCGTAAAGCGTTAATGCCTCATCTAACCTTTGTTCTTTAAAAGCTATGTTACCCAGATTCTTTTTCTCTGCAGCTGCTAACTTCCAATCCTCTTCGGTATTGTCATGATCGGTATGAGTTAACGTATTTGACATACCTAAAATAAATAATAATATTTAAACTTTTGTTATAATTAGCATATCAATATAAGAGGATTTGCAGACATTTTATAAAATTGCAGAATCATAGAAAAACAATATTTGTGAATATTATGAACTATACCTCCTTTATTATTATAAAATGACATCTGTGTAGGATCCATTGCTATAGCTTCATCATAAAGCGTTAATGCCTCATCTAAACTTAGTTCTTTAAAAGCTATGTTACCCAGATTCTTTTTCTCTGCAGCTGCTAACTTACTATCTTGTTCGGTAATGTCATGATCGGTATGAGTTAACGAATTTGACATACCTAAAATGATCACAATATAACAATCATCTAATCATGTTATAAAGTTTCAGTATTCTGAATGTCATAAAATGTTTCGGCAGCCAGATACAAATATGCAAAACAACGCCCGACCCAGTGGGATTTTAAGTTTAAAGCATTTTAGAAGACATTAATTTGTAGATTGCAAATGCATCAATGAACCTAACCGTATCCGAGAAAGTTGCTATTGAGAATTAAACTACGGATGCAGCATATTAAATATTCAGAGTTTTTCAAAGAAATACAATTTTTGAATCAAGATTAAAAATCAAGTTATAAAAGTTAAAATAACGTCAGCATAAAAAGTTACAATCTCACTCTTCAAAAGTGCTGAAGGGTTTAAAAAAAGAAACATTGTTCTTTTAAGGCCACAGGGGGGGGTCCGAGGTCAATTTTGAGATTTTGAGATATGTTGTAGAGCTCGATCTAAATTTTCAAATGCTTTTGTCCTTACCGAAAACAAAGTTTCCTATTTGAAGATATCGCGCGTTGAATTTTGAGGTTTACCTGTAATTCTATTGTAAATGAAAACTTTAAATGCAATTGTGTTCAAAATCTATCTTCTTTTTTAGTTTATGACTTAGAACCTTGTAACTTGGCAACAATGTTCTTAAAGGTATTTTGAGTTTTTGTTATGTAACGATTTATGATATCTTGCTCCAAAGCTGAGATATGAGGTTAACCATGAGTGAGAATTACAAAATTTACAAAATTTAAAATGGTTAACCTCATAAAAAGAGTTAGGAGCAAAATTACAACAATCGTTACATAACAAACTTTTAAATTTATGTCAGGAACATAAGTTCCAAATTTGAGGTGAAATGGATAAAAGCTCTAGAAGAAGATAGGTTTTTGAGGTGGTAAATAAATTGTTCAGGAGAGTCAAAAGACCATGATTCTGAGAAAATATGTTAACCTCAAATTTCCAACAAATAAAGGACATATAATAGTTCTGTTCACATTGGATGGCCAATTGATACCCATTGATAAGTTTAACTTGTGATGAGAGCAACAAAATGTTAAGAACTGGTTATTTGTGAGGTTAACTGATTAAAAAGGCAATAGTTAACCTCTATTTTACGACAAACTAGTCGCTCTGGGGGGCTAAGGGTGGTGTGCAAGCGTCAGATAGTATGTGGTCTGCCAACTGGCAAAAAACTTTTTTTCGACCTCGGACCCCCCCCTGTGGCCTTAAAAGCATACAGTGCACTATAGTAATTCAGTGATTTACCAACTCAAGACCTATAATTATTTGACATCAAACAATTATTTGATAATATAAACAGTACAGACATTCAGCATTCTATACAAATTCTGTACAACACTTTAAACCAAAGATTTTTACTTCAACTGTTATAATGTAGTCGACATCATTTAAAAACCGTTTCTCTCTTGAAAGGTTAAAGAATTAAAAATATGACATGTGTTAAAATGTATTCACTATCAGCAGAAGATAAGAAACTGTCACATTATCCAATAAACAATAACGAGAGATCGCAAAAATTACCTTCTATCTTCGACAGAGCTGTAAGCGTAATAAATGGCTGGTGTAAATAAAACGGGACTACGTTTACAACTTTTGGCAAAAGTGTAAAAGTTCCTGACTGCTACACCGATCGTTTTCAGAGTGTTGCAAGCATTTCTCAACAACGTTTCTAATCACATCTTCACAGTCATCATCAATGAAGTCAGTCAAAATTAGCGTACGTTTTGATAAGCCACATTGGAATTTAACACTATTACCAGTGATGTTAGGATTGTAATCTTCAAAGAACTGCGGCAGATTAGGAAAGGCTAGCATCTCCAAAACAAACACACCAAACATCCAAATGTCAGATTTTCTTCCACCAGGTGACCCTGAAATTTGTAAGATAAAAATCAAAAAAGTATTAGTACCAGGGTTATTTTTTATCGAAAATGGTCACGGAATAATGTGATTATTAAATATTTTCAAGATAAAATAGCATTTGAAAATAACAATTGGTTCTGGAAGCTAATTTAGGATGGAATCTTTCGATCCAGATGTATTTAGACGGATGTTAAAGAAAGCCTCAATAACTAACCTTGACCAGTTACAAGATACCCACAATACTCAGGAGACTTCCAAAGAGAATTACCAAAACCAGGATCTGAAGTGAACTTACTCGACAGCTGTGCACACTTCTTACTTGATATCCCAAAATCTATAAGTTTGTACACCCCACTTTCAGAAACAGTTACGTTGCTGGTTCTTATGTCTCTGTGAATAACAACATCATTTCTGCTATCATCATGAAGATAACGTATTGCTTTAGCTATGTGTAACATTGCTATGCGAATGTCTGATCGAGCCATATATTTACTGTTGTACTTTTCAAAGAGTGATTTTCCACCGTCCTCCATAATGCAATAATAAGAGGATTTGTACAGTATGGGTTTACCATAATATTTGATAATGTTCTCATGGGATAACTGCCTGGTATGTGATGCCTCCCTGTACCATGCGGGCTTTTCATCCTTTCTCTTATTAGTTAGATTCTGCTTTATCACTACTGAAATCACTGAGTTCGTTTGTGTAGTTGTATCATATCTCCATGTTTTGGCAAAGCCACCTTTTCCCAGCAATGTTAAGGTTTGTGGAGTTTCAAACACCTCCCACGTTCTGCAGTTCTCGAAGACATCACACCCGATAGTCACCTCAACATCAGAGGAACCTGGAACCTCTACAGTTCTTGTTATGTGACCTCTTTCATCGAGCAGTTCTAGCCAATCATGCAATGTAATCTCACGAAACAAAATCTGAAAAATTTAATTATAAGCCGTTAAGTAAGGAGTAAACCAATCGTTGTGATTCATGATTTGATTAAGTTAATAGTTGAATCAGTCTCTAAACAAAAATACGAATCAGCTTTTATGTATTCAAAAACCTAAAAACCTAAATTAGAAACTGACCATCATCTCCCAGACTTACACCACATGTTTTATTAGTGAGATACTCAGAAACTGAGATAAGGTGGTCACACTGGCTTGGAGGCTCCTTCTTTTTGAGATCAGGAAGACTACAAAATATTTGTAAAGGAGAGTTTTCATCTGATGATGTGTCCAAGTGTTTTTGTATCGATTTATTGTGTCTGCATTCAACTGCCAATATTCCACGTAACTTCTTATCACTTGTTAAACTTTTATGGAATGATTGCAAAATCGATAACGCTTCATGTCTTTCTTCGATCATTTCACAGGTTTCTCCAAATGAATCTTTGTTCAAGTAGGATTGTCCTAAATGATGCATATCCACTGCAACAATCGTAGTTGTATCAGACATATTATCAGTAAATGGTTCATCAACTAACAGAGGTACAAATTTACCAGACTGCATCCTATATAAGTACAGTTTGTCGGAACATTCAATGCCAAAACACTGGAAAGTCTGAATGACTCCTTCCCTAACATTGCCACATTTGTGCAATTCTTCCAAAGGGACTTCCTTCACTTTGTACAGAAACAGATTACAAATCTTCATAACATCATAGAGTCATAGGATACCACATTATCGCTAAAGTGCAGTTTATCTGTCAATCATCCTGAGCAGTTATTGGTTTTCATGCAAAACTGTCTAAAATTCTTAATTAGATTGCAAAGAGAAAAATATGTATGTATTATATTATTACATCATATTAAATGATTATTCCATACATTTAAGTAAATTTAATCAAATAGATTTGACCAGTGGTCATATCCATCAATTAGAGATATATTCGTGTGGTGTAGCTAGGTTCCAGTTCATTCCATTATTGAAATGATACCAAATCAATTTGTGATTTGGACTTCAAAATACAGAGGAAAATTCAAACTACATGTTACATGCAAAATTAAAAACAGCAGTGATATTATCACAAAATTAGAGAAAAATAAAGCATTGCTACGCACACAATTTTAAAAGATAAAAAATCAAAATAAATCACTGTTTAAATTCAGTATCAATTAGGTATAAAAGTAAAATGGAAAAGTAACCATGTCTGCACAAATAATTTAATCTATTCAGGGAACTTCTGTGATTCTCTTACAAACGTAAAATTAACGAAGATATTTTGGAACACAAAATTCAGTTTATTTCGAGCTGCAGTGCTGGAATTATCACAAAAAAATATATAATGAGTTTGCAGTTTATTATTTAATGAAAATTTGGAAATTATTGTTTAAGTTCCTGCACATCTGAATACTGTTCTAAATATCTGAATTTCCAATTTCAAAATTACTGCATGAATAGTATTGAATAACTAACCCCTGCTAAGAAAAAACAACAAAATCATAAATATGGCTCAATAACTGTAGCGTATCCTTTTTTCCACTTTTAGCATTTTTACAATATAGACATATTCACAGTGTGGTTATTTATTTTTTCAATCAAGAAATGGTAAATTGTACAGATCATAAGTTAACACAATAACCGTCTGTGTGACGTGTGCTTAGTTCATACCATAGAACTTGAAACTTGACCTTAATCTAAATAAAAACGGAGAGCATGTAAAAATCAAGTTTTTGTAGGATTACATGGCAACTCCTGGCACAATTTATAAAGTTGTTCACAGTTAGCTCGAGAGCTCACATCAAATGCTAAACAACTCTTGAGAACATTCATGAACTTTGATTGGATGTCAGTGTCACCATCACCAATCTTGTCCAAGCATTCCTGAATTGGTTTTTCCATGGTGAACACCTTTTTTGTTAGACTTTCCATGAAGCTCTTCCCATATGATCTGAACTCATTAAAGTAAGACGGTCTATTCGGAAAGGCAAATAACTCAAGTAGAAATACCCCAAACATCCAAATGTCAGTTCCTCTTCCAGGTTCAGGGAAAGTGACATCTTGGCTCCCTGAAATGATGAATATCAACGGAATCGACTGTGAAATTGAAAAAGGGAATGAGTTCAGTAAAATAATTTCCAAATCGCTAACATAAGCTCTCATTTATTATTTAGGTAGATTAATTAATTGTATATCGCGATGATTTACATATTAATAAGTTTAATCTTAAGTTTAGAATAAACAGCTAGTATAAAAATGTAATTATGTATGGTTGGTTTGTACTTATAATGACTTATGGTCGAAATAGATATGATACCATAATACCTTGGCTGTTGAGAGCTGCACACGATAATGCACAAACCGAAGATGAGGGCAAGATCGGCATGAAACTAAGCCAAGCGTATCATGTGTCATAATTTACGACAGTTTCTACATGAAAAAAATGTGTCTGTGCTGATAATAGGACCGCAACACTCACAGGAAATTATCAGCACTCAGCATTCATGACTTTTCGGTATATATGATGCATTTTCAAAACTCGGCAAGCCTCGTGAAAGAGAGGACATATTGTGATAAATGTATAATATAGTGAAAATTGTAACCTCAAAAGAGTCACTTAATAACATACCTGCTGTAGCACCGTTATTATCCGTTATCATATTTTTCCAACAGAATTCAGGGGATTTCCACAAATGATGACCCAAGTGCGCATCTGAGTCAATTTTACTACACTCCTCTATTTTCTTTTCACTGGATATCCCAAAATCTATCAATTTGTACACACCACTATCATTACGAGTGACATTGCCAGTGCGAATATCTCTGTGAATCACAAACGTCTCTCTAGTATCTGTGTGAAGATATTTGATGGCATCTGACACTTGGAGGGAAGCTTTACATATATCATTCAGGTCCATACGTCTACCTGAACCAGATTCTCTACAATAAATATCCTCCAATGAAAGCCCACCATATTCCATGAAACAATAAAACTGGTCTCCATACAGAACAGGTTTGCCAAAATATCTTATGATATTTGGGTGACACAGTTGCTGTGTATGATGACCCTCTCTGAACCATGATGGTTTTGAGAGTTTTTTTCTGGCATCATTTTCCGTTTCAGTCCTTTTGATAACCAGAGACTGCTCTTGATTTGAAGGAGTGTACTTAAAGGCAATTCCAAAGGCTCCTTTTCCAATTTTTTTCAAATCTCCATCCAAAAGTATGTTGTTGTTGCAAAAATGTCCACTATGGTACCGCTCCATGAAAAGAAATACATTTGAGTGAATTTGTATGTTAATAGGGGGAGACTGATTGGTTAAGGAAACAGTGATAAACTCATCTTCTTTTAGAACATCAGCCCATTCAGGCTTATAGTTGTGCTGTTTTATTTTGCTGTTCAGAACCTGAAATAGGATGATATCATTTTAATTCCAAATCAGGTAGTATAAGTAAACCAATTAATTATGATACACCATCCTGAAATTAAATGTAGACTGCATTAAAGTTAATTTACTGAAGTTCAAAACCATTGGCAAAACCATAAATTAGAAGAAGGTTCAGAATTAAATCTACATTTTTACAACCATAATTACAATAGTATACCTTGCATGTTTTTAATGTCAAAGAATTGCATATGTTGATAAGACTATCTATATTCTTTTCTTGAGTGTCATCATTTGGCTGCACCGTTTCAAGTCTTTTCCCTATAGTAAGTACATCATCACAGTCTGAATGTGCAGTTTCAGAAGTAAATCCGGACAAGTTCCGTTCTATGTACTTGTTTTCAAGACAACTTGTCACCATATGACCTAATTCTTGACAAGTTCCACGTCTGCAACTAATTTTTGATGCAAACAATGCAAACAACTGTAGAGCTTCCTGTTTTTCTTCAAGAAGTAGTGGTACAGAAGTTCCGAACTTTACAACATTATTTGCAGAAAAACTATCTTGATTCAAGACAGACTGTCCAATCAAAAAAAGATCGAAAATGATCACATTGGATCCTAGCTTGATATCATTGTAGCTTTTCAGAGATGAAAACTTGATGAAATCTGTATCTCCCAAAGACCTAAGGAAACCACTGTGATACAGTATGTATATCTTGAGCCTTTCATTATCTTTAAGGTCTGAGAAGTAAGATATGATTTTTGAACGAATGTTATCAGATTTTAGATCTTCAAGGTCTACTCTTTTGATCTCATATGATAGAAGATTGCAGATTGTAACACTTTGTGCCATTGAGCCTTTTTATCAGTGAAACCACATTGAACTGCCTTGTGAATTTCTCACCTTAAACCAGCTAATAAATATAATAGGGTTTAACAGCCAAATTTTAAAATACAGGTTAAATATTTGTATTTTATAATAAACTAGAAAACCTGTGGTCACAAGGAGGAAGCTAATAGTATTTTTGTTAGTAATTTTAAATCGCGTCAAAAAATATACTACACAACAGAAGATTTGATTTGAAATAAATTTTCGTGCACATACAGAATGAATGGTTAATAATTTAATATATATGTAGACCAAGGTCTGTGCACGGGATGCTTCCTGGAAGAATCCAGTTCTTTTAGCGGGGCACCCTACCTAAAGTCAAATTGAGATATAATAATCATATTCCTAGAGAAATAATCAGAAATCGAATACCAATCAAATAATATGATATATAGGAGTAGTAACCATATTTACTATGCAAAATGCCCCAACCACATAGTGTAAATTTATATAGAATTCAAATTCCATATCATCATTAAACCTCAATAGTCAATATAATAGCCCAAGCAAAATTAAGTAACTTCTTATATACCTTACTGTCATACTACAAATTAATTAAACATTTGAAATCTGTTAACCAGAGAATAAATTAAATAAAAAGATACAGCCAATAAAAATATTTCTTGCACTAAACACAACGTTATATCAACAAAACCAATAAAAATGCCGTTCTAACAATATTTACACGTGCATGTGCGTGTAAAAACCCTCGTTATACCATGGTTACTATGCAACCTTTCGCTTTTCACCTAATTTGCACGTGGGCGCGGGCGGTCGTACAGTGTACATTGTACAAGGAAATTCTCTGAATTATAAGTAAGATCATTTAATGCATAGAAATCACTGCCCCTCCCAACCCTTCAATAGATGTGTGCTAAAAATTAAATGTGTGCTAAAAATTAAATGTGCTAAAAATTAAATTTCTTGTTTCATTGAAAGATTTCTTGTTTCATTGAACTTACATAATTCGTATCGGAATTGTTCAAAAATATCAAGGAGTAGAGATATGGCTCAAACTTTTAATACTAGCGATTGTGGAGCGAGCCATATCTGATAAATCAAAAATTCATAAATTAAACTAAATTGCTAGGTACAAAGACCTAGCAAAAATGTAATTATTCATGATTTCAACTACTATATGATAAGGCATACTTATGCAATGCAGGAGAGCAATTACCACAATGAAATGGATATATACAGCCTCGTGGTGGAGGAGACAATGAATCCCTTTATTGGCCAATGCCCAAAGTGGTCTTTTCAACTTTGGCTCTTTCCGTCAGCCGTCGTAATGTGACAGACATAATATATATAAAAAAAATTTAAAACACTTGGTTCACTATTGTTATAATTATATATATTAACTATTAACTATTAACTATTAACTATTAACTATATTTTTATATATATATTTTTATGAATATGTTTATGAACATGATAGCCTAAGGTCCCCAGGTAACTGTATTTTAGTTATGTTTATACAAGCTTCCATTCACGGGATAACCAGTTACCAGGCAATGCCTGCTTATAATACTTCTCCAAGCTCACACAGGTGTCAGCAAGGAGGAAAATATTTATGCATTTCTGTACGAAGAGCCCATTCTTGACTTGTGAAACAAGCGCGCCCGCAGTGGCGCGAAAGCACATGGTTAGGTGAACCCTATACTAAGAGTATGAAAGTAATTTGGTTCTATATATTTTCAGACGCTGATTACGAATTACCAACCCCATGACGCGACGTAGGGTAAAAATGCTTCCCTGAGAGTTATGGAAAAAAATTGTTTTGACACGTGACAGGCTTGTAAAACTAAAACACGAATTTGATTGTTTAGGGCTAATTTGTTTCACCGCAAAGCACAAAGGGTTAGGGTTGGGATAAGGTTTTATGTTCACATAGCCATGTGTCTACGCGTACTGCGTGACGCGCTTGTTTCACAAGTAGAATAGACCTCCTGTGCCGCCTTCAGCGATCGCGCGCTACTGCAAGCGAAAGGGTTATAGTTAGAGCAAGGGTTTGTAGCGCGATGCACTACTGGGTCGCGCCGCGCATCAAATAATTCTTCTCTTCGGTAGATCGGCGAAATGCACCACTGTGCCTCACCGAGCTGCGAAGGATTGACATCGTGAATCAAAGCAAGGGTTAATGCAATGTAAAACTATTTTTCGGCTACATAACTATTAAAAAAGTCACGTAATATTTTTTGTGTTTGGGTAAATGAATTAGTAAAAACCGCGCAAAGAAAAACAACGATTCTACAAACTTAAATTTTTTTGCAAACGCAATCAGTGTTAGAATAACTTACTATTTATATTGTAGGTTTACAACCTACCAGGACGCGCGCCGACCCAGGAAACCTTACTGGTAGGGGCCTAACTTTGGAAGTAAAAGAGATAGAAACGTCGGGTTTTCAACAAAATGTTCGCCTTGTAAAAATAACGTTTCCCCCCAGGGGGAAACTTAAAAACAACGTAGATTTTTAATCATCGCGAAAAGTCATATTTTAGGCCTTATAAAACTGCGCAGCTATAACTTTGCAGATTGTTGTTCTCTGATTGGCTGAATCGTATCACGTGGTACGCGGTACAATTGCATCTTTGGAATGTTTGAAGCGTGCAAATGCAATGAACTTACGAGCGCGCGCGGAGCTCAACAAGCTTTGAAAAGGCGATCACCCTGTAGTAATATCGCTAGCCAGTAAGGTTTCCTGGGTTTATGAGATAGCCGAGAAGCTGCAAAGAGGGGGGGGAGGGGGGGGTTGATGGCGAGTTATGCTTTGTCAAAGTGGATGCTTTTAAAAATGAAACCGAAAGTCTTTAAACTGCTCGTTGTATTGGTTTTATGTATATCGAGTCGCATGACTTGTGACGAAATACCCAATTAGAGTTAGTACAAGCCAAACACAAGGATATCTCGTGTCACAGATCATATGCACCTGTTGCAGCCAGTCGCAGACCTTGGTCGCTATAATTGAGTGACATTAAGTGACCGGTGAGCCACACTTCTTGACAAATTTTTTTAGAATAACGACCCAATCATAAGGTAAAAAGTGTAAGCTGTATTTTAAGGGCTAATCTCAGTCCATCTAAGTCGTAAGTTTGGAGGAATAATACGGCTAATTTTGCGATTCTAATTTAAAGTCTTGAACCAAAATACCCTGCTACGCGTCAACTGATGATTTACAAATGTTACTAGTCTTAATTTCCTCGATGCATGTAGCGCTTGCCCGAGGCAAGTGCTAGCTACGAAGTAGCGCGCGCCGGGCTATTCCATTAACAATAGACAAGATTGATGATAGTTATGCAGAATAAAAACAAATCATTAGTTCCAACATACAGCATACAGTTACATGAGTCAAACAATAAAAAATAAACGTCTAAGTTGATATAACGAGATAACACATTTGATCCTTTATCTATAATGTATAAATAAAATTCAATAGAAGTGCAAAACACAAAAGTAAGTTAAGCCGAAATTATGTTTAGATAAAACGAATAATAATTATATTAATTTGTAATGCTTTTGAACACGAAGGGAAACACATAACGCGACGTAAGGCTTGAAATCTTCGTAAAATTACATCATTAGAGCCTCAAATTATTTGTTATATTAATATGGTAGTACTAGTGTTGAAAGTATTAAAATTAAATATATATTAATTTAGCTACTTTGATATATCACAATTTTTGACTCAAAACATTACAGATTGTTTTAATTTCAAACTCAGTTAAACACTAAACAGTCACATATTTGGTACATGTACAGTACATATTGCAAAACACAAGCTTGCAGTTTCCACACATTTATATTTATCTAAATGGTTTTTATAGTTCATCTAGTCGCTCATACATTCGGATCCCGATGGCACTGTCGCGGCACTGTCGCGGCACTATGGTGGCACTATGCAATGGTGGCACTATATAATATGGTGGCACTCTGGCGGCACAGTGCTAATCTTATTCTTAGCTCATCACCCGAAGTCTTTGCACATTGTCAGATGCTCTTCTGGGACTGGGATTTCTAGATCCCCTACAAGGGCTAGGAGTTCTGCTTCTACCATGAGTTGGCGCTCCGGTTGTCAGTCTTGTTCCAGCGGGTGGTTTGGGACTCCGAGGTGCTGGTACTGGACTTCTAGGCATACGCAACCCATTGTCAGCTGTAGAGTGAGTGGTGTAAGCGAGGGAGACTCCAGTAACGTCAGGGTCAATAGACTGTCTGCACAGCAACCTGTCTATCCAGTATCCTCTTATCTTCTTGCTCATGATGACGTACATCACGAATATGAATATACCCTGGTTGTAAACAATTTGGATTAAAAAGTTGTTGGATTGTCGTTTAAAATACTTATGGATAATTGAAAAAAGAACAATTTGATCATCAGTGACAAACTGTGGTCAGTGATATTGTTGAAAATTAATAATAACATAAAAATGTTTTTACCTGAGGGGCGTTGAGGAGAATAAAAGCCCATCTCATGACAGTATTGATTTGACCGTAGTTTGAGTTATTCATCAGCAGAAAGAAACCAACAATCCAACCAAGACCCAGCAGGGTTGACACAGCAAATGAAGAAAGTAGTTGTCTCTGAAGGAAGTTTGATATGTGTGATTTAAATAAAGTTTGTAATTGATAACCATTCTTCTAGACATTTAACATATCCTGTGGCAATTTGTCAGGGTGAATTTTATGATAAGATGATACTAATCTGGGACAGGAGAGAGCCGGAATAGTTATGGAAGGAGAGAGTCAGGCTATTTGCAGACTATTTACAAATTATTTACAGACTATTTAAAGACTATTTACAGACTATTTACAGACTATTTACAGACTATTTACAGACTATTTACAAATTATTTACAGACTATTTACAGACTATTTACAGACTATTTACAGTATTTTATCACACTTTACATACCCGTCTCAATGTGACAGTAGAATCGCCCTTTGACTTGGCTTTAGCGGCACTAGCTGTCATAATAACCTTTGCAATAGAGAAGAACATAGCCCAAATAGTGAGCACCCCCAGAACAACTGGGCCGTAGAATGATGCTAACCCGTACGGGTACCTTACAAAACACCTGCAATAGTTTTACAAGTGATTTTATCAGTTCAGTTACACCTAATTTAGTGCAGTGAACTATTTACCGCGGGGAAAGGAAATATCCTCGGTAAATAGGGGCACGATAAATCGAGGCGTTTTATTTAAATGTAACAAAACTATCAAGTACAAGAGATGCAATATGTTTAAGACTGAGAGACTCAGATAGGATTAAATTTTGCTTACGTTTTAGGATCAGCATACTGTGAGACATTACCCCAAGCTAGTCCAATGAGCGGGAATATTATCGGAACACCCCATCCGCCCAAACAGTACTTCAACAAAGCGTTATCAATAGCAGTCCCAAACACCCTGACTAGTGCCTTATACATAGTCACCGCCTCTACAACCATCCAGCCTAGTTGACACAGCCAAAAGTAGTTCAGAAGGAATGCTATCTGTGGGGGTTGTTAGTCAGCAGATCTTGCTCTAACTTGCAGTAGCGCACGACCGCCGAAGAATACCAGTTCTGTGGCTTGGTTGATTAGTCAGGCAGCTTTACTAATATGTTACCATGATCAGAATGCATTTTTAGGTTGGATCATTATGTCGACAATCCGCACATACCTGATATCTACCTTATTGGATATTATTTAAACGGACGTTCATAGAGGTCCTAGCGTTAGGTGAACTCACAATTAAGCAAGGAGTGGTCGCTTCAGGTTCCGTGGAAACAAAGGTGTCCATTAAAAAGAAGCAGGAAATGGACAATATAAGGGAAGTTGTGAGCATCATGTTCACTTTCGAGTGCTCTCTTCTTTGTTGTTGCCTGAACATTTATAATGTGAACAAATAACAACCATAAACATTTATCGATCTTAAACAATGCAACACCCATGTAGATTCTGAGGTGAACATTTATTATTTATAAATATTTATTAATTATTTTATTTATAATTATAGCTACACTCGTATTATAGTACTACTCTAATAGTAGTATTTTAATAACTACTATTAATAACAATAGTTTATGTATAATATAGTATATACTGGCATTGTAGTAGTACTACAGTAGTTATTGTTATACTATAATATCGCAAGCTCTCACTTGATAGGAAGGGTAGCCAGCAGAGTAAGTACCAAACAGACTAAACTGCCACTTAGTAAAATCAGCGTCGCAGATTCCTCAGCTTCGTTTGATTCGCTCGAAAATGACTGGAATATATAATTTTAGATAAAAAGATAATTGTTGCGTAAATTAATATTCTTCTTCGACTCTTCTGGCTCGTGAGATTGCTCTCTTAGAATTCATTATAAGACCATTGGTTTAGTTACAGCTTACCATGAGAACCGCAAAACTAGTGAGATGATCACACAAACAGGTCACATCATAAACTCCTTTCTCTTCATTGTAAACCGTCCTTGTCTCGCACCCTTGTTCACTCCAATCATTTACTAAAATACGACTATTTTATGGATTGAAACTGTTTTGATAAAACAATATCTGCCGGGTGGTGTAGTGGTGTAGCACTAGTTGTAACACGATCGCCTTCCATAACTTGTAGGAATCAGTAATATACAAAAATGGTGTTGCAAATCATTTTGCTCACGTGTAACGTTGTAGAATTTACAAGCCAGGTGATGGTGAACAACATTTTTTCGTTTCGTTCTGGTATGTACTTTCGAAACAAAGTCCTGGGATTGTTAAGAAGTTGAACTATAGTTGTGTTGATAAACTTTGGGGTTTTAACATCCTAGTACAAGCTTAATTGGTAACTCTTGAAGAAATCCGACCATCATCTGATCATCTGTGGTAGGATTTTTTTCTGATCCTTTAACTAAAATTAGTCTTGCATCAATTAATGACTATTAATAAGGATACGCAACTAAAATCTGCTTACCGTGACTGCGAAGTTCATACTTATATTTTGCTCTAGTTGCGAGTTTGACAATTTCAAAGTCTTTGTGTCTATTATGTTGATATCCGTAATGATAGTAGCCACAAACGCGACCTCCTGAGATATTATCATATCATTCACACACAGTTACTCATATCATGTTCAAAATAAAGAGATCTCTATTCACACAGTTACTTGATTCAGCCTAATTCTGACATATAGTTGATTATTAAAAAATTCAATGAGATGTTGCCAGATCACACTTATTCAAATTTTAGCTATTAAAAGTACCTGTTTCGCTTCATGAATATTATCTGTGAGATCTTTAAAGACTGCTTCCTCCTCTTTCTCTGAAGAGCCAGAACTGCTCATCTGCCATGTCAGATTGGACGGAAAAAGTTTGTCTGACTGATGAAACACCGCTGTGGCAACCAGATCTTCTGGCGTTTCCAATTCAGCCTTGAGGAGGACAGACGTTAAATCGAGCAAGCTGCATATGACAGCACAAATTATTTGAAAGGCGATATGAATGGCAATGGAAATGGGTCGGATAAAACTCATTTTACTTTTAAGGGCGTGCCGGAACAATATAAGTAATACTATAATGCTTTTGGGCACACAGCCAGGTCCATTGCACCTCTGTTCTCCAGTTGTCCCAGTTGTCGATTATTCACTAGTGTATTACCGATTGAAGGGTGTTTCCTAGTGGCGAATACTATCCCTACATCCCCACATAACCTCTTAATATCCGGATTAAGTTCATTCCCTGAGTTCTCAATAGACCTTTGTACTGCTTTCGGTTCGATTTTTTCAAGTTTGTCACCGTTGTGTCCACATCTGGCAAGATCATCCTTTAGTTCGCCCAGGTCCCAGAACCCAGCTTGTACTGGATCTGATTTTCTGAGTCCAATTGCTCAAGGTAAGGTCTAAAAAGTTAACAGATGACACAATTCGTTGGTCTGCGAACCTGATTCCATATGGTTCAGCCAGTTTGTTCAACAATTCAACAAACATTGTAAATTGTCTCACTGTCCCCATACACTCCAAATATGTCGTCGATGAATCTCTTCCAAAAGTCTATCAGGTTCCAATTCGTTATCATTTTGCTAACCTTTTTGAAGAGCAACCAAATTACCAATGCATAGTAACTTTTGCCACTTGTCTGGAGATACAGTTTCCAGTAGGGATAATTCCCTCCTTGTTTAAGTAATACTATAGCTGTTGCTACATAATGCTGTTGTTAATCGTTTTGTAACATGATTGATGCTTACCGAAAAGTATACGTTATCACTATCAGTATCAGCTGACTGGACCTTCTTATCACCCGCTAAAGTTAGCACATTCTTTTCCTTTTCCTTTTTGGCAACACCAAAACCTGCAAAACCACAAAGTCCAATTGAAATCCGGAAAAATCGACATGTTATAACTGATCATCAACAGCTGGCAATATTATAATCGGGTTCAGAGAACATTTGAAATCACATAAGACGCGTGATGCGCTTCTACTAAATCGCTCGCCCAAATTTTAAGAAAATTCTTGTGAAAAGGCCCTTTGGGTGTGAAATTGATCTGAATCGGTGTATTTTTGGACGCTGATTCCGAATCACCCCACATGACGTAGGGTAAAAATGCTTCCAAGGAGAGTTATGGGCAAAAAAACCGTTTTGGTCACGTGACAGGCTAGTAAACCATGAATTCGATTGTTTAGAGCTCGGGTTAGGGTTAGGGTTGTGGTAAGGGTTATGGTTAGCTTCGGGGTTATGGTTAGGGTTAGGGTTGGGATTAGGGTTTATTTAAAACCGTTTTGTACGGCTGCAAAACCATAAAAACCAAAGTCACGTGAAATTTTTGGGCGAGCGAATTAGTAAAAGCCCGCGTGATGCCCATATATGGTGAGTTTGATATTGCCTTAAAAGTATATAATTATCAACTTATTGATGTGGCCGTAAATCGTCTCAATAATATCAAGAATTCCATTAAATACAAACCAATTGACTCCTTCATGATGACTGTAGTCGGATCAGATCCTCTCACAAGATTGCTCGCTATTGCTACAGAAACATCTCTCAATTTCGAGCTGACTTCTGTTCCACGAATCTGCCCACTCCCCGCATTTCTCTGGATATTATCAATAGAATTGATCATATTATCTAAGAAGAGCTCCGATCTTGTCGTATTCTGATCTCCTTGTGAAAAAAGTGACTCCATGATTTCAGATGCTTTCATCACTTCATTATAGCTTAGTTCGTTGCCTGATTGCTCCGAAGCTTCTTTGAGTAATTCTGATAGGGTGTCTGGATCTGATTCCGACATTGAGCTGTTTTCTGTTTTCTGAAATGTAAATATTGCTTAAGTGTTAACATGTTAGTATTTAATAATTTCTCGAGAATCATAGTTTAACCAGCACGAAAAATTACAAATTCTGGTATTGGTGCAAAATTAGACTCCTTATTAATCATGAAATCGCACATGCGCTAATTTAAACAAATACCTTAGAAAGGTCGTCCAGTTTGTTTGTTGCTGAGGTGGTACAGTCTGTATAATCAGTCTTGCTGAAAATTCCATCCTCCGAACAAAATTTGCGGGCCATGAACTTGTCCTAAATAATACAAAAATACAAGCTAGATTAATGAAAGACACGTCAAAAGTTAGCTCGGGATTTTTTATAAGACTTATACCTTCGGTAACTTTGATTTAAATTTATTTATTTCAAATACCGCAATGATATATTTATATGTTAGAATTTGAATTTGACTCACATTGAAATCATGGAAGCAAGGAAGTTCCCCCATTTCTCCTAGTATAACATTTCCCCAGGTGTAGTCTCCGTACACTTTATCATGCTCATTTTTTAGTAAGCACACTAAACGTGAAAAATTGAAAGAAATTGGAAAATCAGTTTTTTATTTTACGATATTCGTCTTTGTTTATGCAAATTTTGTTTCAATATCAATTGTGCGTACGTTAAATCAGGACATTTAAATAAATGTGGTGACATGTTTAAGTGCAATTACCACATTCTGTTCTTTTAAAGAGAGCGCCAGTTCCTTCAGGACATTTTGTGCAGCTTGTCGCCTTTTCTGAACTGATCGTGTTTACCGGACACCGTTCACATGTTGTCATATCAGAGGTTTTGTAGGTCCCTGCGCCACAATCTAAAAAGGTGGAATGGGTCAATAACTACACCCAACTAGTTCCCACACAATTAATTATATCGTGCTTCTGTTAATGTGATGATTTATTTGAGAGAAGCCTTGTGAGCTTGTGGCTGGCTCGGTTTAAGCAGAATTTAAACATCTTTCAATCTGGATCGATGTTTTACTCACTGTCACATTTCGTTGGAAAATCAGGAAAAGTTCCTGCAGGACATTTTGAACATTTAGTCGCTCCGGGCTCCGGGCTGATCGTATTTATTGGACACGGCTCACATTCCGTCATATTAAATGTTTTAAACGTTCCAGCACTGCATGCTAAAAATAAGAATTCATAAACGACGGTCAAAGAACACGAATGAAAAATAATGGAAACTAATGAAAACAAATGTAAACTAATGAAAACTAATGAAAACTAATGTAAACTAATGTAAACTAATGTAAACTAATGTAAACTAATGTAAACTAATGTAAACTAATGTAAACTAATGTAAACTAATGAAAACTAATAAAAATGAATGAAAAATAATCAGAATTAATAAACATAATGAAAATGTATATTGTTTTACAGCTGGATTTAACCAATTCACTGACCTTTGCAGCTCGTTCTTTGCTCGTTGGCAGCAGTTCCTTCTGAACAGATTGTGCAGCTAGCGGAACCTTCTGTACTAAAAGCGTAAGCTGGACAAGGTGAACAATTTGTCATGCCGGACGTTTTGTAGGTCCCAGCCCTGCAAGCTGAAAACAAGAATACATTTGGCCTTGGGTGATCAAACGATTGGAGGCCATTGAAAAGTGTAAAGTATTTGGTCCCATCTACACATTATTTATTTATGAAAACATATTGCAAGTGTTATAAATTAGTTAGTGCATTTACTATGGTTGCAAGTGTTATAAATTCATGTTTGTTGAGATTGCTGCCCCTCTTCCTTGATTTCAGGGCAGTTGCGGACAATCATGTTAACTCTAAGATTGATGCTAAGCTCTTTAAGACAACTCTACACATCATCTGCAATCTGCAGATGGCGCGAGCACACCCTAATTATTCTTTTTTATTATTACAGTGTAAAGTTTGGACTCGGGATTTGTGTGTGAAATTTCGCTGGCTGTCTAGTGACGCTAATTCATAACGCCGCTCTTTATTTTCTATAGCGGTATCCCAGCGGTGTTTATAAGTTTAGGTATAACACTTTTATAGAATTATCGTGCAAGTTGCAGCTTTCTCTTGATACAAACACTCAACCACAAGCTTTAATGTATCACTGACCGATACATTCTGTTCCCTCTGCATCTGCATGCACCGTTCCTTCGTCACACTTTACGCATTGCAGTGAGTTCTCGTCTGCATCTTCGGAGACACTGCAAACTGAAATTATTCCATCATTGTGATATCAGTATGCTGGTTAGGTTGTGGCATGGAAACTTGTATATATTTTGTAACTGTCGGTTTGTGATATTTCGAACGTCACATCCTGTGGACTTAATGACTGGCACTTTTAAATAGTACCACACTAAAATAACTATAATTAAAACTGTCCAAACCTCTCCTATAAAATAATGAAGCTTTTGTATCGCTCTTTTCGCTGATAAGCTTAATGTAAGTCCCTGCTATTTCCCCCCATTCTTCGTCATCTAGACAGGCAAGTGACGCTCGTGAAACGTTACCAACAATTTCTCCATTTCTTAGAACATAAAGTTGGGCGGAGTCTTTGCCGAATCTCCATATTGATGGGGTTGCGGAGGGGGATGATGCGATGTTAAAGGTCCCCTCAAAGAGGCACCCTTCTCTTTCCATGAAGCTAGCACTTCCTCCCATTCTAAAGTGCAACAGAGAATCCGACGTGCTCAATGTCCATTTCCAATCAATGCTCAACCAATCCGAAGCAACTTTATATCTAAAGTTCATATCTAGAGTAAGATCAGAGACAAAACTACCATTAGCTTTAACTTCGTAGTCGTGTTTGTTGATGTTGTCCTTGATAATGGAGATCCAATCATAACTACCTCTCGAGGACATGGGCGATAACCACTGATCGGACAAACCTGGGATAAATATGAATAATATTGTATTTGTAGTAACAAAATTTGGTTTGGAATTGGATCACCATATCAACACGACAAATTGTAGCAAAAAATGCAAAATATTTCCAAACAATCAAACATACTTACATTCCCAAGCTCCACTCAAAAGAAAGACGATAATCAGTTGATATCTTGTGGAAACCAACATGGCCGTCACAGATCGCGAGAGTAAACACCTTTCAACATAAGCTATACCAACCGCTGAATTGTTCCTCTATTTATCTTTTCGCTAAAAGGGAACAAAAAAGCTCTGTACAAATAAATGAGTAAGTTAATTCTTCAGACAGATTATCAGATATAATTATAACTACCGATCAATTACATACTTTTTACATACTTTTTCGTAAGAGGAAAGTTGAAATAATCTTAATTAAGGACCTCTTAAGGGGGCATACACCAAAACAGTGGTTTGTGCCGTCCAGACCAAATGACCTCATAGGCAGTTCAGTGACCTTCTAGCGCACCGTTTCCACACCAAAAAAAATTATTTTGAGAATACCCATTTTTGTAATCGAGCATTTCCTGGTTAAGAGAGCAATTTTCGGAAAAAATTATTTTGTGGTTGAGACGCTATAAGTTAATCATTTCTTGCGGTATCGGATTGAAATTTTGCTCGCCGTTTATTCACATCTATGTCAAGGTGTGTGTAAAATCTTGATATCGTATCTAAAAAGGCTGGTGTGTTATGAATTTTTAAAGTCAAAAAGCTAAAATTGTCCTTTTCAGGCTTATTTCAACAAAAAGTCAGTCAGGGAAGATCGGATTATTTGATGCTTGACATCAAATTGTTCTCTGAATTCTGGCGCAGTTTTTGATGCCCTCAAAAATGTTTTTACTCATTCACCTTCTGATCTATTGGACCTCAAAGCCAAACAACAAATTTAGGCACATTTTTCGTTTTTAATGTTTACTGATTTTTCTAAAATTTTGATAGGAATGTGCTAGTGACGTTTTGAAGGGTGCAAAATAAACGCAACTAGCACATTTATATATGAGTTATGAACAGCAAAACACCCTAAAATGCTTCCCTTTGAAGTTATGGGAGAAAATGTGATTTTTTATCTGCAAAGCCAAAAAATCACATTTTCTCCCATAACTTCAAAGGGAAGCATTTTAGGGTGTTTTGTTGTTCATAACTCATATATAAATGTGCTAGTTGCGGTTATTTTGCACCCTTCAAAAATTCACTAGCACATTCCTATCAAAATTTTAGAAAAATCAGTAAATATTAAAAACGAAAAATGTGCCTAAATTTGTTGTTTGGCTTTGAGGTCCAATAGATCAGAAGGTGAATGAGTAAAAACATTTTTGAGGGCATCAAAAACTGCGCCAGAATTCAGAGAACAATTTGATGTCAAGCATCAAATAATCCGATCTTCCCTGACTGACTTTTTGTTAAAATAAGCCTGAAAAGGACAATTTTAGCTTTTTGACTTTAAAAATTCAAAACACACCAGCCTTTTTAGATACGATATAAAGATTTTACACACACCTTGACATAGATGTGAATAAACGGCGAGCAAAATTTCAATCCGATACCGCAAGAAATGATTAACTTATAGCGTCTCAACCACAAAATAATTTTTTCCGAAAATTGCACTCTTAACCAGGAAATGCTCGATTACAAAAATGGGTATTCTCAAAATAATTTTTTTTGGTGTGGAAACGGTGCGCTAGAAGGTCACTGAACTGCCTATGAGGTCATTTGGTCTGGACAAATTTAGGGTATGCCCCCTTAATAGGGGCTTCCTAGAAACAGTGTTTCAAACACTACTTATACATCATGAGTATGCAATGAATTAGTTTAGAAAAAATCATTCCTCAAAGCTTCTTTATGAGGAAGGGGCATTTTTATATTTTTATATTTTGCAAGACTTTCAATATTTCTGCTTGGGTTAAAAGTGTCCTTTCTTGTAAAGAAAAATTTTATCAATTTGCAACTTTCGGTCGACCTTGGCGGTCGCCCTTGTCAACTCGGGAAAGGCTGTATGCATGCTTCTGGCATTTGTATATACATTCTAGGCGACGCCATTTATTGTTATTACATTGTTGTTAAATCAATTATTATCAATAGTTCTATTTCATTCTCCTCGAAATTTCCCGTTTCCACTACAAAGAAATACATCGACAAAAAGTAATTTCAGGGAAGAAGTAATTTCAGGGGACACGCGACACACAATTTGAATTAGACAAACAACTCAAGATGAATTCTTCGTAGAACAATCTACATCGCTATAGTCCTGCTCAAATTATTTTTTATATAGTAGTGTTGAAAGTATTAAACAAAAGGTAATAACCAAACAAACCAATACAAGCTAACATTTCAAGAAACAGAGCAGTTGGACACGGACAATTTACAAAGCAGCCAATCGAACAATGCCAACTTTAAGAGGTAAACTATTTGAAATTACCAGCGTTTGGTAATAAGTTGTAAAGAGTGGAATTCCAAGACAATTCAGACAACAATTCAGTGACAACCTCGAAAATTCAGCACGTTTTTATCATGATGAAATACGCATAGTTTTGTATTGTGCCGCTGGCGCATTTTAGTAAAAGCCTGGGTCATTCACAAAAAAAGATTATATCCCGTGGCAGTATATCTAGATAGCCCGACCCCTGTTCGCGAACAACTGTTTATCATGAGAAGCTATGGGAAGTTATTTCTTTATTTGAATTCAAAGCTAAATATTTGAATTACAAAGGCTTAAATCTAATTGAATCAGATACCAAGTATTGTGGTTATGAACAGTTAATTTTCGTGGTATATGATGTCTATTGTCTACAGATATTTGATATAACAGTCATATGTTATCGAGCAACAGTAGCACAACAGTGCAGTGATAGAATTTTGTGGATATTACTGAATCTGCACTGTGACCGTTGTTCTGCCTTATAGAACCTCGTGCCCCAGAAAGATTATCTCAATCTTTACCAGCTAACCCTAACCTCACTAACCCTAACCCCAACCTCACTCGGTGCAACGTTATGGTGCACGACAATTTCTAATAGGAACAAACTGGGTCAACAATAAAGATCTGGTTGATCAGACTGGACCTGAATCTGATTGACCAGATAACGTACAGTAACAAACGATACCTTAACTAAAATATGAGCAAAATAAACTAGAGAATACAACCATTTTGATGTTCAACTTGCCAAATGCTGATCTGAGTGCGGTTGATTTTGAGTAGTCCGTGTATTGACCCCCTATTTTGAGAATGAAGCCAGACTGGACCACAATATTCTTCTGTACGTGTTCCGGACTGATATTTTATTTGGCTCCTACTCAGAGGATCTATCTGAATTACAGCTACAGGGTGGGCCATAAGTCAGTGTGCAGGCGTTTCCAAAGACTCTCTTTTAGAATATTCGTCCGCACTTTTAAAAAGGCTAGAAATGTGCCCCTCGCCAATAGTAATTTTCTAATTTAGCATGAATCACTGTACCCTAGCAATGGGGAGACCCAGCGGGGGACAGTACAAATAGCAACGCTGCTGTATTTTTCATGGCCCGCTTGTTCAATTGCTAATGCTGGAGTATGAGACGGGAAGATTATCAGTCTGGAATACGGACATTTAAAAAAAGCATTTAAATATATTCTCAATAATTCATTTCCCAGCTGCGATCAACGGAATAACACATTACAATGAACCGGCCTATGATCTTATGATCAAAGTAATATTACTAAAAGCTCGCCAGCGATCATCAGTAGACGTGACGGACAGTTTTTCTTTTATCTAAATTTACCTGTCTTCAGTCTACAAGTACAGCGACGCTCCGGTCTGAAAGGGATTAATAATTGTTTTTATAAGTTGTATAAAGTCACGTTTGAACTAATCTTTAGCTTATATTCACACAAAAAAAATGTAAAATTGTACAGTGTACGTGGTATATGGATTATTGAGCGGCGCCTGCCATTCCGCCATATATTCAATCTATGAACACTGAAGCCGGAGATCCCAGGTAAGGTATGATTGTGAGACCCTGGTTCTTTCGTCAAAAGTGGACAGTACGTATTCTGTCAAATTGCCAGTCAGCGTGGTTGCCAGGCACCATCCATCAAAACTCCTATTGTGTGCCGAATTTCACTCACAAGAGGCGCGACTCTATGTGATCTAAACAAAATTATACTTTTGAAGCTTTGCCACGCGTGCTGTCCTGCTGAATCGATGTATGTTTGCATACTGATTCCGAATCAGTATGCAAATTCACGTGAAACCCACATGAAATAATCATATAGGATCAGTTTCGCGATCAAGGGCAGCCACAGAACTAAAATTAACAGTCTAGACCCATTGTACACATGTTGTATCTATAATATTTATTAACCGTCAATATGAAATGCAGCTTTTGTGTTTCTGATGGCTCTGGCGACTAATCGATCAACTGAGAACTAAGACTAAATTGAGAGCTAAGAAAATCCAGCTTTATGTAAAGATCGCCAATATAGTAGACTGACTATATTCAGACAATAGAAGTAGGCGAGAAGGATGTAAATTATACCACAAAGCCTGCCGGGCGAAATCCGTCTCATACTCCAGCAATTGAACCTGACACATCATTTAGCAAATTCTATTTTCCGCTATAGAAATTGCTGTATAAATTTTAATTTAGACGGATGAGACAGAGCAATTCAAAAATATGTTGAAATTACACACGGTAACAATTATAATTATGCACACTTTTGCTGCAGTTGATCCAGTCATATACTTTCAGCGGAGTCTTGTTTGCGGACTCTAAAGAACCATTGTTAGTGAACGTCTACTACAAATCAGATGTAATTCAGTTGTTTAATACACATTTTTGAATAATTTGGTTAGAAATCATATCAAAATTGAAGTTATTGTTCTCACTTTCGCAATTTAAGATACATTGAGATGTATTTAAACTTCTACACTACTAGTTTCCTGCAACCACATCTTTGAACAATGTCTA